TTACAGAGTAAAATAAATTTTTTGTATTTCAAGTTAGAATTTGAAATTTTGTACGCGTGTGTAATGGGAGATAATCTACGTGCAAATCAAAATTTCATCGAGAGATCACGTCTAGAGACGAAGTTATGTTGATTTGAAGTTTAGGGACTACAAAATAAAAATAAGAGAGCAAAAGTTTTGGATTTCCTTATTCACAGTTTTTGCCAAGTAGATAGCGTTTCTGGGAGAACCTTTTTGAGTGATATTAAACTTATGGAAAAATGAGTGAACAAAGGGTTGAAAGGTTAGGTTACCAAAATTACCTCAAAGCTTGGATGTTATAGTTTCTTTGGATTCCAATATAAGAGAATTCAAAATGGAGTTTGAAGAAAGAGTAATAAGTCAATCTCAAAGAGTCAAACATGAGACTTGCTTTTATTGTGAAGAGGAGTGACATAATGTTGTCAATTGTTCACTGCGGAACAAGGATAAAAAATTGAGTAGCAAGAGGAACTTGGGAGAGTTGAAACTTCACTTGGGACCATCATCGCCACATGAATCCCAGAGCGCGACTTTCTGTGACAATTGTGGAGTGATTGGACTCCCGGCGGAACACGAATATAGCGGAGTGAAGGTGCTTCTTTAATCACTTGTGGAAGGTTTTGAAGGCAAGATAAGTGTTGAAACGGAGAAAGTGACTCGGCTGGTTCAAGCTACAACTGAAGATAGAGATCATTATTCGGATGATGTAAAAGATGATGATGAGGGTAAGATTCATTGTGTGTCTAGGGGAGGAGAGGATTATGGCTATATTGGATGAGCCAATTACTTTTGTGTTTCTTTTGATGAACTACTCAAGGATGTAGTTAGTGTTTATTGTATTATATTAGGAAGTCTCATATAAATTTTCAATTAAAAAAATAAAAAATAAAAAGTTGGAAATGGGTAAGCTTCTGATGTTTTATGGGAGTAAGAATAAGGATGTAGAAGCCTTTGTTAAGGACTTCAAGAGTGCTTGCATAGAAAACAATGAGAGGAAGAAGTACGAGTGGGCAATGCTTTTGCCGGATTTTTTGGAGTATTCTGCCCTCAAGTGGTACAAAGAGTACAAGAGTGAGCATTCGGAGGATGACACTTGGGAAACATTGACAAAAAACATGATCAAAAACTTTATTCCTAATGAAAGTTATGAAAAGTTGATGTGTGAGGTCAACTTCTTGAAACAAGGAAAGAACGAGAAAGTGAGGACATATATGGAGAGAACTGAGAAGTTGGAGTTTAGATTCCACGTGGTGTTTTCATCTTCAAAGTTTTATGTCTTCATCTTCGAGTGAACTTCTCTTCAAACCCTAGCGTTACACTTATACGTCTCCTCAAAAGAACACATTGAAATCAAAACAAACACACCTAATAGTTTGAAGAGAATAATCCTTGCAAATCTTCACGCAAAGCCGCAGCCCATCGTACATGCTAGAAATATTTTTTCATTCGACTTGCCCATTGTCGTGCTTCACACGAAATAATTTCATTCACTCAAGCAATGAGTAGCTCGTTCACCTCAAGTTGGAGCTCCAGATCTTCACTTCGGATTTCATCTTGCACATCAAACGAGTATAAATTTTCAAAAACAAATCTCCCCTTTCTCCATACTTCATTGCGCATTCACACAAAAATTGCATCAAAGCAAGAACCGTCGAATGAATGGATAGAGGGATGTTGAATTAGTTGACATCGACATCAACCAATTGAATTCAATAGGTTGATGTCCACTAATTGAACAACTCACAAATCTCTCTCCGACACCAACTTACATATTGTTAACGGCCGTTTCACATGAATTTCAAGTGCAACGGCCTAATTTACTTTAGATAACTTCGAACATCTACATTAAGCAAGTCATATTATACTGCATCCACAATACAGATATATGACAATACTCACAGTTTGTTTATGGAATTTTCTATAGTCGATATAAATGGACAATTTTACCATCAATCATGATCTTAGCTTTTACTTCATTTGTCATTAGATCGTAATTGATTATGTTATATTCTACTTGTTTCACCGGACACTTGTATCGTTGAAGTGAACCGATCCATCTTTTTCCCTCACTTATTTTCAAACTATTGTTCATCACACTTTGCTCGTCCCTATCAACTCTCTCTTTCTCTCTCCGTCAAAGCCAAAGAAATTTTACAATTGTATTTTAATCAACTTCATGAGTTGTGCTCCGCACTTATACACTACACAATTAGAAGCCACATCGCAATTCGTTTGATTTTATTGACTTCCTTTCCCATCCTTGCCTCTACGAATTTCAAAAATTTGAATTGTCCAAGCATTGAAAAGAGAAGGTGAAGAAGACGGCATTCATTCTACCATTCTATCATCGAAAGTTTCTACCGCGTTCAATCTACCGAAGCTGAAGCACGAGAAGTCGGAATACAAAGAAGCGTTAACTAGAGCATCCCAAAATTTGAGCTACCCAAACACGATGTGCACGAATAAAAAAATCAGAGTTCAAGAAGACAAAGTTTGAGATAACCATAGAGGGGCCGTAGATCTTCCGCCATGACGGTGCTATTGCGCTTAGTTTTGCGACCACTCAAATGTTTGGTTGTATTTCCAATGCCAGCCCGCCACTTAATTGCTCACGCATACTAGTGGTCACCGAGGAGGATAGGGCTTGTATGTCGAGCACCTTGAATTTGTCATGTATCAATAGCGATCCCGAGAACTTTCATCCCAAGTCTATGTCGCATGTCCGAGTTCACACAGATTCTGTCACGATGGCAGATGAGACAAGATCGCAATAAGAATCATTATCACACATGTGTCTGGTCGATACAAGACTCCATTAAGCTTCACGAGGTTATCCACATCAACGTCTGCCTTCCTTCTCTAGCTCTAGACGACCAATGTCGCCGCACCAAACAGTGCAATGCAATCGACTCAAAAAATTTGCAGTAACAATACCAACTTACTGAAAATCTGAAGTTCAAGGCTATCGATGTGTTTCGAATTCTTGCGTTTAAAACCATGAAAATAGAAAAAAAACCAAAACTGTATTATCGTTGGAGCAACAAGTCCGGTGTAGTGTTGGGTAGTGTCGAATTGTGTCTCATTTCTTTATATATACAAGGTAACAAAAACATTAGATCTAACAGTGACTAGGATAAGCATAATCCAAACTCTAATTCGGGTTAATTTGAATTTGACTCAATATTTGAATTACTATTAACATAAAAATACAATAACGAAAAATAAAAAACTATCAAGATCAACATGTAATATAGGGTTAGACTCGGCTATACTTATATGCAATTTTGTATCTAAACGCAAATGTAATCTTTGTGGTCGGATGTCCGCAAAAAAGACACGAGTTCTATTATCAATACAACCAGAGAACTACTTCATGAAATATTTTAGTCACTGATTGGGACGGCAGAACCCGTCATGCACCTGTTTATCCCTTTTTATGGTGAAGATGTTTATCTGAGTTTTCTTAATTGCGGTGTGCAGCAGTTACGAGTTGTTCCACACCTCTAGCATTCAAGGTACACTATGCTATGTAAAGCTTAGGTTAATTCATTTCCCGTCGAGGCGGCTGGACTTAAAGTAATTACAAGTGCAAATTCTCCACAGCCGCATAACTGTTTCTTTACTGTTTTAATCTTCCTCTTACGAAGGACCAATTTTAATTGATACGAAGGACCGGCACTTCTTTCTCTACGTACTGGAAGTGGCTATCTTCTTGCGTCGCATTATTAGTCATCCACTTTAGATATAGATTCCATGAATGTCAGCAGTTAGCCGTCTTTGGACTTTCGTCTGATTCGCAATGGACAGCGATCATTGAGATCTCAATGATGTGTCTTTTCCATTACCTTTTGCAAAAGCTATATTGCAATCACGCAGTTGACAGAATGAGTATATGATTCCCTCTACTCTTGGATCGGTATATTCCTATCATATAATTCTGTCGCAGACAGTCCATGTTCACGTTATTACTTTGTCACATCTTGTCTTCTCATCGATTGTGCCGAATGAAGTGGCCTCGTGAATACTCCCTCTGGGCTCTTGGACTTGAGTAGGGAAGCAATACCCACGAGGCCACTTCATTCACATTCCACATTAAGTCCAAATGCCCAGACAGCTTCAAGATGACCTCCGGATGAGAGAATGTTCAGTACTGGTTGCACAATGTATATTTCGTTTCTTTGTTGTTAAACCTGTCAGCTGAACTTTTACCAGATCATATCGTGGTGCTATTCATTTTCTTAGAAAACTCGGGTGTTTCAGAAGAAAATCGGTCCGAATATACTTTTATATAAACCTTAATTAAGAGTACTACAATAACGAGTCAAAGAGTGATATGCGGGGAGAAGGGTTTTAGTTCAGAACGCATAATCAATCTCTACATAATTTGTTCACTTACATTAATGACAATTTTTGGGGAACGATCCATTATTAGACATAATAGATTCAAAAAGAAAAAAGCCAAGGAAGAACGTGATAACGCTGTCTAAACAACATCATATGACTTGCATCAAAATAGAAGACTGCACTAAAGAAATTCACCAATCCATCGAACAAACAACTGATTCTCACACGAAAGTCTACGACACAATCGGACAGATAAAAGCAAGAGGAATAACGAGAGAAGCGCGTATCACGATCAATCCCCGGATCAAAAAGAGAACAGCATACCTGCATGCACAGAGGCCGACGGATGACTAATAATGCGACGCAAGAATCAAGAAGAACGAGAGGAACCGCGTCGTGTCTGAAGGAAGGAGGCGCCACGTGAAAAGGCCGAGAGAAGAGCAGAACCATGTCCGCCCCCGTGCGTGCCAGAGCCCGAGAGCTGGAGCTCGCTCGACATCGAGAAAATGAGGGCGGCCGAGGGCCGAGGGCCGAAGGAGCCACGCGCGACGCTCCGACCACTCCCAAGGCGGCAGTTGGGAACTCGACTCGGCGCACCGGCTGAACGGCGACGCGCCATCCGAGGCGACCGGCGACCCCGGTCAACGCGAGCGAGCCACAGAGTTCGAAGATGCGCCGACGGACGAGGATTCGAGTCGCAGGACGTCCCCCGCGGCCCGCGGCCCGCGGTCCGTGAGGCGGACCGGTGGAAGGCCTCCCGTGCAGTGCATGAATGAGTCGGTGGCCCACGGAATTCGATGCGCTCGGACGAGCAGCGGACGACGAGCAAACGATTCGCATTCGGATTCGGATTTGGTTCGGCCTCGCGGACGATGGCTGGCGCGAGCGGAGGTGGTGCGGAGCATCCGAACGAGCCCCGGAACGAGTGGCTGAATCTCGTGGCGCTCGCTTTGTGGCTCTTTTCCATTCATCTGAACCTTCTCGTGGTTTTCATCATTCTGTGTTTCCTTCCGAATCCGTGGGCAATTTCGTAAATCTCTTCCTCTTTTTTTCTCTCTCTTGATGGATCTCGCTATCTCTCGTCCTTCTCTTATGCCGTTTTTCTGTCGAAGGCGATGGGTTTTGCGTATACTGACCCGGACGCGCAAGCGTTTAATTGAATCTAGTGAACAGAGCTGGCATTTTTATTTTCAGAGCTGTAAATTATGTTCTTCGGTACTTCTGTCACTTCATCGTAGAGGATGTTGATTGCATTCAGAGAATCTGTCGAGAGGAATTTATTGTCTTCAGTCTCGCGGAATTCTACGGGAGGTGGAGGATACATGTTGTATTGCTATTTGCATGGTTAAATCTCCGTGTGGAGGACCTTGTTGATCTAGAAAAGCAAAGTAAACTAGTTCGAAAATGGATTTGCAGAGCCCTCGTATTGTGGTTATCACAAAGCCTTCTACCTCTATACACCGACACTCCCTTCGCCAACAGAGTTGCGAGGTATGTTGATGAATCCTGTAGTCTCGCTGTGGTATTTCTTAAAACGGAAACATTTTCACATGACCAATCTCTTTAGCACCAATTTCGATAAAGTTTGCAGCTCCTCAATCGAACTTCCTACAGCTGTGTAGCGTAATACTTGAGCAGGCAAATGTGGTTACGTCATTAGTGTAACAGGCTTGCTCGTTGTCAACAAAATTCGTTCCCTCGCTTGCTACCAGTCAAAGAGAATTAGACACCATGTAACTTTTTTGCATCTAAAATTTATCAATTAAACAGTTCAACCGTTTTTTACCCCTTGTTGTGCATGACAAAACTCGAGCGTTGCACGCTCAGTGCCTTTCTTTTTGCTTGTGGATGTAAACTACTTGGCATTAGTGAGATAGCTTGTGTGACGTACATCATCCTAAATAGCTAGCAACGAGTGACTAGATCTGAGACTCTTATTCTGAACAACGTTCTTCCGGAGAATCCTTAGCAGCATTGTAAGAGCAATATACAGTTAGGCCAAATGATCTGATACCAAGTTTTTGTCGGGAACTACAAAAAATAAGAGGCATTTTACATCGGCTCTAGTTTTCACATTAGCAGTAGGATAAGCGCCACGAATTCGGTTAGATGAAAAGAGAAAATATTTCTGCCTTGAAGTAGTTTTGGTCATGCGTGATCTCGATCTAGAAGATGTGAAGGGATTCAAATGGTTTTCTGCTGTGTCCATGAATCAGTTGAAACGTAGATATTATACCACGAGTGATGGTGTGTTGCTCTGAAATTGTGTTCTGATCATCATGCTTTTGCTTGTGGCGGTAAGGTTTATATGCAAGTATGCCCCTACCCATTTCCCCATTGAGACGCACATTGAAGACATTGATGCTTTGGACCCGAAGCGAGCTTATGGTGAGTTTGATATTAGTCTTGTCCTTCCAGCAAAATGCATAGACATATGTGTCTGTCAGATTCTTTACATACTGCAGGCATATTATCATTGTGGGAATGTTCGTGTTGCTCTTTGCACTTGCCTTCCTGCAGATTGCCCGTGATTTTGTTTTTCTGTCCTAATCTTCTAATTTACATCTCCGAATTGAGCGAAACTGCTGTGTACTTCAATCTGACAGCTAAGTGTTTGAATGAACTTGCGCGTGCTTCAGTGTTTGCAGTGGAACCACACTCTGTGCTTCCTATTTCAATCATAGCGCTGACCAAACACTACGGTCTCATGCCCGTAAAAAAAATGAAGGCTCTGGCTAGTAGTGCGGTGAGTTTCTTACCGAACTACCATTCGAGTCGTAATTCTCTTTGACCGGCCCTATATCTCAGTTGGTCAGGGCGCTTTAAAGAGATAGTCATATTTACGAAGAAAATAGAAACTACAACTTGTCCAACTACTCATTTTTCTGACTTGAGCACGCTCTTGTCTATTCTGATTACAACGGAATATCATTTCAGATCTTCTGGACACCAGTATTGCGGCATGTATGGTCATGGTTGGGCTTGGTACCTGCTAGTAGGAAATGTTATAAGGATCTTCTCCAAGATGGATACTCCACCATTTTAATACCAGGCGGGGTTCAAGAATGCCTTTACTTGGAATATGGACACGAGGTAAGCGACTTGACTTATGTCTACTACGATATAACCGTTGGTGATTATGTGTGTACATCTAATCTCCTGTTTAGAACGTAACAGCTGACAGAAAGCTTACGTCGGATGTAACCAGACCATTTTCTTGAAGAAACGATTTGGATTTGTGCGTGGTGCTATTGAAGCAGGGGCGCCGCTGGTGCCTTGTTTCTGCTTTGGTCAAGTATGTGATTTCCGTCCAACCATCTCAGTTATGAAATGCACCTTCATCTTTTGGTTTTTAATTCTTCTGCAAGATGTCTGTTTAACTGTTTTTTTTCCTTTGAAGCTCACAAAACAGTTTGTGCTTTTCCGCAGAGTGACGTATACCATTATTGGAAACCCAGTGGACAGTGGTATGCTCACCTTTCTCGAGCAATCGGTTTCACACCCTTGATATTCTGGGGAATGTACGGGTATGTAAAAACTCAGTGATACCCAGTCTAAAAGATGTATGTCCAAACATAACTTGTGCGCACGGTTGTTTTCCCTGAGTTGCTGGAAATGAGCCATGTGCTTCACTAATAATATGTTTGATTAGTACGCCCAGAATTAAAGGCGCTATCTTCTGCCGGAATATTCTGATGTTCTTGGCTCAGCTACAGACCTTGTACATATGTTGGAGACAAGTCACCCCATAGAACAGAATAACATCAGTAACTTATTTTCAATATTGTGAAGAGATTTGTACAAGCAAGTATATTTGCTTCTGTTCTAACGTCGTCTTTTGTCAATCTTCATTGCAGGACTCCCATTCCATATCCTAATCGGATGTACCTTGTCGTAGGGAAGCCTATCGACGTTGAGAAGAATTCCAATCCTTCTCATGAGCAGGTAGGATGCAAATATCTGTCTCCATGTCATTAGTTTTCAAGCTTTAGCACTGCGATAGTTCCTGGTCAGCATACGGTGTATCACATTTCTTTTCTGGAGTTGTTTCAACGGAAAAGAACCTCCAGATACCTGCTCTTATGACTGTAGATTCCTGTACTTGTTGAGTTTTTAAGGTAATTTCATGCTTTTGTCGTACTCATCATACTTTTCTCACTCTATTGATTAGCCTTGATGACACCTTTGGCCTCGCTTATCTGCGCAGATCAGTGAGGTACTTAAGAAGTTTGTTGCTGCGATGGAAGATCTTTTTGAGAAGCACAAATTGGCTGCAGGATACAAAGACACGACTTTAACAGTGCGCTAGACCTGAGAAGAGCATTACGCATCCTGCTTCTACCTTCAGCCTTGCTCATTCGGTGACCAATATACGCAGGGGTATAGATCAAAGTCTTGGTAACCACGAAAACAAAGTTTGCATCTGGACCCCGGGACTGAACTGGATGTGATATTCCACTCAGGGCAGCTTCGTCTGGTAGCGCTCCACCGTTGGATATGCCATGGTGAGCTAGTTGTAGCTAGGTAGATAGGATTGGCTTTAGAGCCTAGATTTTGTCCAGAAATAGAAATGATTTGTGCAACAGTAACCTATCACATTGATAGTTCCACTGAATTTCTTACAACAATGAGTTAAGACGTTTCGTTATTGATATTAACTACTAGGAGATGGAGATGATGATTAAAAGTGATATAATAAAATATACGTACCGAAGCAAGAAAGGTATATTCGGAAAAGTAGTTTTCCATTTGTACAGTTTCAAAATACTAATTACAGTTGTTGCATTTACAAGAGAAAATATTATATCTTGTCAACTTTGGGTTGTTCAAACTTTACGTTGTGTCCATTCGAAGTAAGAGATTGATTTCATCTTTAATGTGTGAAGTTTATATTCTATTTGACTCGATATACTTAACAAGCGTTGCTTATGGTAGAATGATGGGAACAACGGAGTCTTAAGTGGAGTGATGTATGATATGTGATGCATAGGATTATTGAATGTTCGAGAATCTTTCAATGCTCCTTTCACGATTTTGCAATATCACTATAATTGACTATTGGACATCATTGACTAATGTTAGACATCACCGACATGTGTTGTTGATAGTGGAGTAGTTTTCCAGCTGGATTGATTTGATAGCGTTGCACTACAAGACCAGTGAAGCCACAACACATCTGCATTGAGTATCAATTCGGAGACAATTTGATGCACCAATAGAGGTGTTGACTTGCCAACTTCTTGAGTTTTTTGTTAAGCTTCAAGCATCGTGTGGTCGAGCGTTAAGTTATCATCATACCACATCAGGAGATCATCTAGAGACTCATGATCTAGCACAAAGAGTGGTTCAGACCGTGAAGAGAGCACTCGGAAAGTTTGACTTGGAAATATGTGATCTTCGAGACTAGCATGTACAGCTACTTGGTTCTCCATGGGTTATTTGCGTCCATTTTACTGTGCTTCTTGTTATGTGTTAAAGCTAATGAAAGTCGTGATATATGATGTGTGATTTGGAAAAGGCATGTGTTAATTGTGCATCATTTCATCGTCGAATATTTTTATTAACATAGATCCAAGTCTAGTAGAGGTGAGAATAGACTTGAGATGCATGTTGTATGTACTAGCGGTGGATGAAGCGGTAAGTATGTTGATTTGTGATTCTTGTTTGAGAGGATGTTATACTTCATTTGTGACATATCCTCTGAATAGGTGGCCTAGTGGACGGTAAAGATGTCCTTCATGAAATTAACACACAAGCCGTTTTGACTGTTACATGATATAGATTGCAGATAGCGACTAAACATTAGTCATTATAGCATCTTACTTCTTTATTTTAGCCCCACAAAGGATTATATCATGTACGGACTAGATGATTACCTTGTGTTAGAGGGACATAATCTTCATTTAGGTGACCTATGATATAGTTACATTGGTGTAATCTATACTTCACAAACATTATAATGCAATTAGAAAAATAGTCAGAATTTTCACAACTAGAATTTTGGCAGTTAGTTTAGTCAAGAATAACCTTGATGTCGAGCTCCATTTCTTTGATTTTTCTTCAGAGTCAAATAATTATTTGTGTAGGCAATACGTCACATACCAAAAATTTTTTATTAGTGTCTATTGTGTTATCATCATTAAAAATATTGTGAGCGATTATGTCTTACTTCATAAACATTTGTACTTTGATTTTGAAAATAATATAACTAGTTTTGTTTCAAAACATAGAACTGGTACTTTTATTAAATTTTTTTATAACTAGTTATAAAAATTTTATTTCACGTGAGGTTATGTGAAGCGTTCCTTACGCATGATACACATCATACTTGATAAATTATTGACGACTTTGAAACTTGATGCTTGAGAATGATGAGTAGAGATGTCAAAGAGTAGGACACTGTTTCTAACATTATTTTTTATATTCTTCAACTATCGTTGTGATATATAAATTTGAGATTAGACTGCCAAAATCTTTTGATACTTTATTCTTAATAGCAAAACTTCACGAGAAAACTCAAAGAGACAATCTATCAGATAAGTACATGGTTCATTTAATAAGTCTACATTCACATAAAAATACAATTTTAGTGAAAATCTCCAAACTTGTACTGTAGAGGCCTACTACAATTACTATTATTTAGCAGTTGTAACCCTGATTTGACTAACCATAATTAAATTGACGAGATGTAACAACAACGTTGAATCCAATACTGACAATTTCTTGCTCAATGATGTTCTCCATGTAAAATTTCTTATCTTCTCTGGATTGACATTTCACTCTAAATTATTCATTTCTGATGATGTTTTTTGGTTTATCCGCTTGACTACTTCGTGCGGAAACTACTTACTATGCATCCCTATTACACTTGAAAACCATTTGTAGAATTTTTATAACATCATCAGACCAAGAATCACAATGTGTAATTGAAGATTTGAAACAGAGACAAACAAATTTGACATTTGATGTGGAGGACTAGTCCTCATAAGAAGCATATTTGCTAGCTCAGCACATTCAACACTTTGATACACTTCTGAGCAATGATCGTCATGATATTAACATACAAAATACTTCATATGTGAGCAATGGACATGTAGGCGTCATGTTTTCCCTCACATGTACAATTATGGATAATAAGAGAACGATACATAGTCTCATAGACACGACACGCCACGCCAAAGTCCCATGTCCCTTAACTTTTTGCCCACAAAATATCAAACTAGAAACCATATAAATGTGCAGTTCCAATGTACTAAATAAATACTTTCGGTGGAGAAGCTCAATATTGCCAAGGAAATTTCATGTTTTCCCTCACAATTATGGATAATAAGAGAACGATACATTGTCTCACAGACACGTCAAAGACCCATGTACCTTAATTTCTTGCCCACAAAAAATCAAACTAGGAACCATATGAATGTGCAGTTCTAATGTACTAAACATATTCTACTGGTGGAGAAGCTCATTCCTCAAATTGCCAAGGAATTTCGATGCTCTTGGTCGTGATCAATATTTTTCTGACTCACGATCTCATCGTTGTGAGCAAACGAGAAAATGGGGACTCAGGCGGTCCAGCGATCTGCATCTGCATCTTCATCGCCACATCGTGCAAGTATTAATCGGGAGTGCATCATTGGCGCATGAGAGAGAGACATTATTATTCTATGGGGCCTACCGGGACAGGATCCATGGCGACGAGTCGAGCGGGTGTTCCACGCTTTGGGAATGCTGGTCGGGTCCCTCTCAATTTCGATCCATGAAAGTAGAAGAAGATGTCGCGGGCGCAATTCCACGACATGCCTGCCGTGTGCGTCTTCAGCTGCTGAGCGCGGGGGCGGAGCTGGGCGAGTGTGCTTTCGGGGCCGAGCGCTTTCGTCGGTCGGTCGGTGGGTGGGGATGGCGTAATTCTGCGTTGTGACGAGGACTTGGAGAGAGGGCGTGGATTCGGCCTTCGCGGTGACAGTCGCAGAGGATGACGTGATCAAATCTTTTCAATTGGGTGTCAGGGAAGGGAACTCGGGCAGTAAATGGGGAAATGAATCCTCAGCTGCGGAATTCTGCTGAATTGCACGAAGCTGCCAGTTGTTCAGGTGCTCGGGTGGCCGCCGCTTGGTTTCTGCAGGGCTCGAGAAGATGAATTTCGACGGTACAAACTGGTTGCAATTGAGTTTCGTGGGCATGGGCAACAGAGCCCGGAATCGACGCACGATCTGGCTGGAAGAGAGTTTAGGTCTGCGGCAGCGAACGGAGAGTCAGCATGGAAATGTGGGAGGCTCTGGTCGTTCTAGCCGGAGGAGTGTAGCCAGTACTGACGGGGCTGCCAGTTGCGACGAGGAAGATGAGGAGCACGAAGATGATGATGAACGCGAAGTCATTTCGGACTGCTCTCATACCGATGATGAGGACGATGATGAACCATCACGGTATGGAGTAGAGCGTGGAGATGGTTACGATTCCGATGAGAGCCCGTTGAATGAACATCCTCTGGGCGAAATCATTTACTATCGAACTTCAGCCAGCCGTGATTCGGCTAGATTCGGTAGACGACGACCTCGTGAAGCTGTAAATGTGTCGTATATGCTTGCTGGAAGAGAAATCAATGTATCAGGAAAATCCAACTTTTCAAGAGCTGAGCAGTGTCATGTAGCGTGCAATTATCTGCCCACCCATGGGCCGACCACGGTGGACGAGACCAAAAGCCGAGCATACACAGGACAGTTTTCAGCTGATGGATCATTGTTCGTTGCTGGATTCCAGGTGTGTTGTTTGAGCAGAATGTGTCCAATTTTTCATACTACCAAACGCTTGTGCATGTTTGCTCAATGAAAGTTGTGAAATTTGTTATTTTGAAAGCTCAGGAATCCTGTAACCCTGTAACCATTAAATCTTTCCCAGTTGCCGCTAAGTTTCGTTGTAATTAGTTGATCCGTAGAGTGGACATTTCAAGTTCTTTACATAAATTAGTAAGTCTGAGGTGTTGAGTATGCAGCTGAAGTCGGCGAAGCTGGGTAGAATCTCATCTTTTCTCATTTGATTGAACGCAGGAACAACGGATCAAAATTTACAATGTAGAGAAAGGCTGGAAGCTTCAAAAGAATGTTATATGTCGAAATTTACGCTGGACAGTGACCGATACCGCATTGTCGCCCGACCAGCGTTTTCTGGTATTTATAATTGGTCATTCCGTTATAGCTCAGGGCGAACAGTCGTTGGCAGTTAATTTGTATGCCAAATGTTCATATATTGTCGAGACGTTCCAGCTTACCATGACGTTCATAGGCACATCCACAAGCCGCAACAATCTTGCTTAGTTGTAAAGTGTTGTAATTCTGAATCATGAATATCTTGCGCAATGCTTCAGGTTTATGCCTCAATCAATCCAATTGTACATCTTGTCAATGTTGGGAATGAAAGTGGAGGTGTCGAATCCCTGGCTAACATCACGGTATGTATCCTATAAATCTATGCTTTCATATCTTCGTAATCAAACTCCTCGACTTCTACACATTCTGCAAACATGCATACCGTTTTTCTGAATCTTGTTGAGAGTGATGTTATGAACTCCGTTGCAGCAGTTGAATACCATGTCTTCCAGATGTATTACCAGCAATGCCTGATGCTACAATTGACTCTCCTATTTAGACATAGCTTGCTACCACTCCTCGCCCTCATGGGTGCTGTGATCAGAGCACTAAGGTCAGAACCCTCTAGATAACACTCCCCTCCCTTGAAACTCAAAGCCTAGCTAGAGTGGAAACTCCACTCCAACTCTCGCTCTGTGATTATATTTGAGAAAATTATTACTGGCAAGGTGTTTACTCTGACTTGTATTCTTTGATCAAAAAGTTTTATTGTTTGGATTAAACTATGATCCATGTAGGAGGATGTTCTGACTCATTCTGATCGAGAATATCAGATCCTCGAGGCGAATGTTCTTATGTGTGTTTAAAACTCGACTCGTTGGGTCATTAGGGTCTAAGTCTTTTCAAGTGAGTCTTATTTGGCGATGTAGTGCGTCATATTTTGCTCCGTTTCTGAAACGATTGACATCTCTTCTTAGGTAGAGGTAGATATTTAACAGCGTATCTTCGATTAAGGGCCAGTTGCAATGTTCTTCGCGAAGCGTCATTTTTACCGTACAAGGACATGCCTTGACCTTTATGGTCTTGGAAGAGTTTTCAGATAGTCGTAATGATAGAAGGTGTTTAGATTAGTAGATGACGTTCACAATGGTATGCGGCCAGCACCCTCTTCTTGGGATTATGGACGTCGTTTCAGCACTAACGCTCAGGTTCCAGAGTTTCCCTGCTGATGTTGTAAGCACTATATTGTAGGATTCTTTGAACCAAAATTTATCGCCAATATCTGGATAGACTCTATCTTGAAAAGGAAAGATGAGACCGGAATTGTGAGCTTTACTCTAACTCAACTTCCTGCTGACTTGCTCATCTCCCTTTGTTCATACTTTTAAACAAACAAATATAATGCAAATCATGTAAGAGTGGTGCGTCTAATTAAATTGTAATTCTTGATTGTGTTCTGTACTCTGTTGAATTATACTAGCAATACTTAGATTAAGAATATATAGAGAGTTTGTGGCTCAAAATTTGAGCTTGAGGTATGTACATCGATATCTACCATCTTGTACTAAAAGCTTCACAATCACTGCGGGTTTCCCTATAAAATTGACAAAATATAGCAAAACTTATGAAGCAGCCGAGTCCAAGTGACAAGTGACGGGAATGTGAGGCTTCGCATTCAAATATTATTGATCATCAGGGGAGGGCTTTCTTCCGTCGGACTGGATCCTCTATACTGCACACTCAGTAACCACCATTTCCTCACGGCAGCTCCATGTATTCCACCAATTGCCTACTTCTCGGTTCTTCGTACTCTTGCATCGGTTTTTCTTTCGTCCTCTTAAAGCTTCAGATCATGCATGACACGACCCACTTTTATAACTGTCTTATTGTTTCTTGCTATCTCGAAGTTTCCTCGGAACCTTACGTTCTAAGCCCTTGCGGGTGATCATGTTTGATGTAACGTCTAACTTAGATGAACTGCTGGTTCCATTGTGTGCTGAATTTTTATTTTTTGGTCAACGTGAAACTTGTGCCGTTGTTCGTCTCAGCTTGGAGGATGAGACTTTCATTTATTTTCATCAACTACGTGAAAGAGTCTAAGAGTATTTTGTAGCAATACTTTTTTTCTACTTTATGTTACGATTTTGAAACGGAGATGTTACATTGCAGAAAATAGAGATGTAAGATAGAGCATGAGTCCACTGTCTTATGTGAGGGAATTTTAGCAAATATAATAAATTTTTTCGTACGAGATGGCCTTTAAGTTCAGCTTGTTAACAGTTGTTCAATATCAATGGTATTGACTTACTTGTTTGTGCTTGTACGCAATAATCAGCATATGCATCCTTTCTCTTCGTCAGTTTTAGCCTTCACATTCTTCTTGCATGAGGATTTTTCAATGCCTAAAATGGATTCAGGTAATTGAAAGGCCATCTCATTTCATCTTGTGATTTTTAGTTGTATTCCGTCTGATCGAGTAATTTGAATGCAGGATATACACGAGGGATTGGATTTGTCTGTTGATGATCCAAGACAAGAGAATGTCTTCGGCATCTGGTCTTTGCAATTCTCTCATGATGGTCGGGAGATCGTCGCAGGTGCCAGTGATAGATGTATCTATGTATATGACATGGAAGCGCAGCGAACAACTCATCGTATTGTAGCCCATTCTGTAAGTTTATTGTCGAAGCTAGTGGGTCATCGGGATGTCGACCTGTTCTTGTTTTGTCATAAGTTCACTGGATGGACGTACACTCAACTTGTTAGTAATAGTTTTTCTCTACCTGCTGTAAACTCGCCTTGTGCTGTTGCGTTGCAGGATGATGTCAATGCTGTGATTTTCGCCGACAGCTCGTGTAACGTAATATTTTCAGGAAGTGATGACAGCAAGGTCAAGGTATATATACCATCTTGCACTCGAGCACCCTCTAGCAAGTACAGCCATTTGCAGGTTTTGTAGTCACTTTTATGTCGACTTTTACCGTTCAACTTCGCACATCAACATGATCAGGTAGGCGTGTTCGGAAGTCTTCAAGACCAAGCTGTATCGTTATCTCTGAGGGTATGACAATCCGATCGTTTTCTGAGAAGGTTGTGGTATAAGCTACTAAAGGATAGAGGACGAATAGGACACCAAAGATCGAGGAAGTTCTCATATTGATATATCTGACTTGGACAAGTTGTTGACCTTTGGAGAGACTAGAATCTTAGTAGAGGAAGACTAAGCGACGGATGTGCACTACCATAAGCTCTCGATTAGTAAGCAAGAAGGTAAGCTGCCGAGGCCACCCATCGTACGGATGGGATGAAATCTAGTTTCTGAAAAGGTGCGTATTAAGCGTATAATGACATTCACCGCAATTACATTTCTTGGGCTATGGCATGGACTTTGCGTTGAAGTCAGTTAGGAGATGAACTCAAGATCTCAACGTCCAGGAATGTTTTCACCTTAGAGATGCTCTATGTGAGTTCCATCTAGTGTAGCGTGCGAAGAGAACAATAGAAAAGGGTGAGGAAAGTACATATATCAAGTTTGGAGGGTAATAATATTCTATGGCATGTGTCCATTTCGGATTCCTTCAGACAGTGGATTTTCACAAAACATGAAGAACATCTTAGAAGCCAATAAATTACAGTAACGTATGGTGAGGTACAAGGAAGAAATTAAAGTTGATGAATAGAGAAAAGATGGAGAGGACCTATATTGGAGTATCCGGTGAGCGTGGACCAGAGGAGAAGGGGAGATGGAAAATCCATATCCATGCTTTTGAGCTGAGCTGTGATTTTTTAAAACCCCTGTTTACTGTGAAATTCGTGATTTGTGGGTTTATAAGTACGAGGTGATCAAAGTGATGACAAGTTTTTCCAACTCTCAGTTCTACCTGTGCTATGCCTTTTTCCTTGTGTTAAAAAAAGGCTTGTGGCCATGTTTCACTTTGCTGATATATTGCAGCGATGTGTGAAATTTTGAGCTCCGTCTCATCGCTTGATCGTGAGGTTTATTCATCAAGTCGAATGTGGTGCTTGTCTGTTGCAGGTGTGGGATAAACGATGTCTCACACAAAGGACTGAACCTGCTGGCATTCTGGAGGGTCACTTGGAAGGCATCACAGCACTGGATACTTTTGGTGATGGGCAGTACCTCATCTCCAATAGCAAGGATCAAACTTTGAAGTTGTGGGATGTGCGAAAAATGGATTCAAGTACACCAAGGTTGGACCTTTGTACTTTCTCACCGCAACAAAGGCTTAGCATACCTTAAGATAATCTCCTTGAAAATCTTCCTGTGCTAATCAAGAACTAGATACTGCAGTCTGACAAGGGTATATTGGTAAGAATTGCCTGCAGGCACAGACTTCTGAAGATTCCCACGTTTCGATGGGATTATCGGTGGGGTGACTACCCTGGTCGGGGCAAGAACTTGAAGCATCCATATGATGTATCACTGATGACGTATAAAGGTCATCAAGTGCTGAAGACTCTCATTCGATGCTACTTCTCTCCCGCCCAAAGGTTGGTCTTGACCTTTGCTTCATTCACTCTGTACATATTCTGTCTTGAGAAGCAGAAATGTAATCAAGAAATTTCTTTTGGAAAACATATATCGATAAGGATATATCGCTTCTATGCAGTCGGTTACTAATGGTGTTGGATTGAGCATCCAGGATATGCACTGTCGGTGTCCTTTCCCCTCTTTCTTGTATTCTTTTCCTCCTCTTTTTCTTGGTCTCTTCTTCGTCGGCCACCGTGTTTTGTATTCGTGACGTCCTTCAACTGCCGGCATACTCCCATCTAGTGTACATTCGCGTGTGTTTATTGGATTCCAGCTTGAATCCAATAAATGTCCAATTTATTGGACATTGTCCACTATCCAATCTATTCAGCCACAGGTGTCTTCTGCACTTCACCCTGTCCACAGCTGATAATGACGTCCATGCCAATTAGCATGACGTCTTTCACTTGTTTCCTTTCTTCTCTGCTGTAGTCTTTTACTGTCGCGGTTTTTAAAACTTTCGTACTCTCACTTGAATCAAAAGTTTTACATCTTTATGCTGGATACTAACCGCTGCTGGCCTTACGATACATATGTCGGCAAGGATGTAATGTCAGTACTTTGGATGGACTCTTACCACTGATTGTTGACGTAAGATGGAACCGTGAATCTTTTGCAGCACTGGTCAAAGATATATCTACACTGGATCAACGGATGGGTTGGTTTATATTTTCGATTTGGTACGTGAGCGATGCACTGAACTTCTTTTCCACTTTTTTCAAGAATTCATTGCTGTATATAGCGACAGGTGAATGCCGCAGGTCGCTGCATAAGCATACAATATCAAAAGTAAGCAGGATCTATCGAGTTCGTTTTCTATTTCTTCACATCGTCTGTCCTCTCTACAGATCACGGGCAAGGTGAAGTCAGTACTCAACTACCACGAAGGACCGGTCCGAGACGTGAGTTGGCACCCTACGCAACCTATGTTAGTCTCGTCGTCATGGGATGGCCATATCGCCAAGTGGATGTATTCACCCGACATAGTTGCGGCGCCTCGTCGATATTATAGATCATCAGATCGTGCAAGATATGACGGCGACTTTGATAGTGATTGACAGTTGGTTTCTCGAAGGTCCACCTCGAAGAGGAGGTATACATAGATACTTGTAAGATGGTAAAAGTCGGTGCTATGAATTCATTTTATCATTGGCGAGAAGAATGGTGGAGTGATGTAGGCACCTCACTCTTAAATCCACAGAACATTTATGCAGCCGTAGTAAGAATGGTGTAGGCATATCAGCTGACGAAAAGTCGACTTGCCCATTGTAATTGTGCGACTTGGCGCTTTTGTATATTATTTGTCTTTTAGAAACTCGAGGATAAATGTCGATATCGTTCGTCGCCAGATAAACCTCAACCTCCCTACCTTGATCGCTCATGGGCTTGTAAATTACTCTCCGCCTGCTGTGCGTTTCTTCAGTTTTATAAAAGTTAGTTCTGAAAACATTGAGCAGAACTGATTGAGAACTGATTGTGGTTGAGATGCATGTATTGGCAGTGAAAGAGAGTATTTCCTCAGCTGATTTCAGGCTCATCTTCTCGAGCCCTTTTTTGGTTTCGTTTATCAACGGTAGCCAGTAACAGAGGTACAGACATAATTGATGTACTCGAAATCGAGCATTCATGCCCGCGCACAATTGCAGAAATTGTACACTCGAGTTTCTACGTGACAGTATGAGAATCAGTAATGGAATTCACATCACCATTTGCCCTTACGAGCGCCTTTCCCAGATAGGAGGCAGGGCACATCTGCATTATTCTTTGAAGATCATCATGTAGTCAGAATGACGCTTGAAAAGCTCCTTGTATGTGCTATGAGCGCGAGCGAAATAACTCATCGATGAAGGGATGAATTTACAGTGCATCGACACATTTAGCCTACACTCCATCGAGAGTTGTGTGACGCGATTGGATCGTACTCACGGAATGCCACACGTCGCTAAGTCGGACAAAGTGAAAGTTCAGTCATTTGGCCTCAGCTCGATGGAGTTACATCCGTCGAAGAGCTTTAGACGCTAATGTGAAAGTAAGTCGTCGACCTTCTCCTCGAATCAAATCCTTAAATTCCTTACACGACATATTACCGAAGATTGTTTGGGATCTGTCTAACGATCGCGTAATTCTAAGCTACTCGATATGATCGTCGACGTGCATTGTCTGAGGGGTTGTACGCCAAGCGCGAGCAGCAGTTGCTGTTGCCAAATTCTCGAGGAACAAATGCAATCTCGCAGTCGTGGGACAGCGGTGTAAGGCCAGACACGAGTCCAACATTACCGTTCAAGCGATTTGGACAACTATGCAAAGCATCATCTACACAATCGGATCGGTTGCACACCAATAATTGGACCTATCTTTAGTCCTTCTAAGCACACGTATGAGGACTCGAATTCCAGCAGAAGCAGCTTTTCGACAATGATGACGGCTATCCCCTCAGAGGAGTCGGAAGATCTGCATCCGTCAACCATATGAGGACAGAGCTACGAACAGGAGCTCCGAGATGACGCAGCAGTCCAAAAGCTTTGACTCCTGGACCTGCACACAGGCATTTACAACACCTCCAGCCCCCTCTCCCCCCCTCTCCCCCTCCCCCGGCAAGCTTACATGCTCTAGTAAGCACAACTGATATGCTCTCGGCAGCAGCACCCCCGTTTCGCTCTCGACCTTCCAACAACCGCAGCTCTATCCCCTCCGGCCTCCTCGTCCAGTCTCATCGTCCCGGGCCCCTCGCGACCCTTCGCCCTCCGCCCTCTCCTCCCCCTCTCCCCCTCTCCCCCCTCGCCCTCGCACCTCGTGCACCTACTCGGAGGTTCCCTACGCGGGAGGAGGGGGAAAAGCGAGCCGCAATGATATGATAAAGGTCCCCATGCCATGAGGAGCCCAGACGCACAAAAGGCTCACGGGTCACAATAAGCCACCGCCAAACCAAACCCTACGACCTCGCCCCTCCCGCATCCATACATCCACCCATCCATACATGCATGGATGCATACATCTCCAACACTCTCGCCGATCATCACCACCGTATTCATTAGCTGTCCCGTCCCGTCCAGAAGTAACGCTCCTTGCGAACCTGGGTCGCTGGGCCGACTGGAGAAGTGGAGGTCCGGGGACCGGAGTCAGGAGTCCGGACTAGAAGGGACGCGCGCAACGGCGAACCGCGGTCGGCCAACGTTGCAGGCAGGCAGGCAGGCAGGCTGGCTGGCTGGCTGGCTTGCTTGCGTGCGAAAAGCGCAAGGGATTGATTAAGGGATACGGTTTAAGCCGCGGGGTTAATATAGACGCGGGCAGCGGGCAGCGGGGCACGAGCTCTGCTCCGCTGGTGGGACTGTGGGATCGATTCATGGGGGACCTGGGTCAGAACCGCGAGGGTTACTTTTTAGCTCGGGGTTAACCTGGAGGAAGGGATGTATGGTTGACCGAGGGTGGGAGAGGGGGGGGGGGGGGGGGGGGGGGGGATCATTAAGGGGGGAGCAGCTTTTTTCAACAGCTTGGACTCGAACCTCTTTGGATCCACTTTAACACCAAGCGCCAGACAAAATGAAGGACTGGAAAGCAACGACTCCTAAATATTCCGAGCTCATCAATGGCACGGCCAACTTTTGGAATTGGTTTCCTGAAGTGTGACAAACCCGATCCAAACTTTCCAACAACGACGTGGACTCGATCCTCGATCACTGAAAATTGCCGTGCCATCTCGCGCCATCACCTCACCGCCGAACAAAGCTGGAAATCCGACATCAAATCTTTTCGCAGCAACACCTGATTCCTGAACCGAAATGGCCTCGGTCTTGTGCCCTCTAGTGTAGCAAACACGATAGATCGATGCCGCACTGCACTACACTGCATCGCTGAGCTGAGACTCTGGGCTACGGTAAGGGCGGTACAACACTGCACTGCAGCAGCACTACACATCGCATCGCATCGCCTCACCTCACCTCACCTCACCTCAGCCCACGCTGCGAGCGATTGATTTCCGGCCAGAAAAGATGCACGCCCTTAAAGACCCGCCCCACCCTTAAAGCGCTAGTGTACAGAGGCGAGCCTGCAGGGCCCCCCCTACAAGGCCTGCCTGCACTCTCAATGAGCACTAAAGGTGCCACCCCCTGCACAGATGCTTGCTTTTCTGCACTCTACTCTCTGCTCTCTCTGCTTTCACTGCCCCTCAGAAATTACCTCTTCCGATTACGGCAGGCGAACATTCCCCTCCAGGCTCCATCCATGAAATTTCCCCAGAACTACCTACAGCACCAGCACCAGCACCAGCAGCCCATGCGACACATTCTCCCGATGCTTGCTTCCTCTTCTCGTAAGTAAGCCAGCCAGAGTCGCGGTTGCGATCCTCGTGATAAGCGAGCAGCCGCTGCAAGTTAGCGAATGTTTTTCGTTTAATTAAATCGTTAATGGCGAAATCGCTGTGTAGAACATGTGTCGTGAACGCGTTCATGCTCGGGGCCGGAGGGCGGAGGGCGGAGGGCGGAGGGCGGACGGAACACGGTCTTCGAAGCGGGAGGAAGTCACTTGCGCGCGGAATGATGATGATGAGGGCGATGATGCGGAGGATGGCTGTACAACTTCCTCGTGGTGGGATGGACCTCCAGGTGTCGAGAGCCGCGATATCCATGAGGTTGACAAACGTGATGTTGTGGGCACGGGAACACACAATAAACAAGGAGCCCGGGAATTTGTGGGAAGCGTGGGGATCGCTCGACGAAGGACCGAGAGCCGAAGCAGGCTCGAGGCCAGCGTCGCAATGCAAGAGTCCAGATTGGCAGCGCGCGTCGTCCAAGCTTTTCCCGAAGCACCAGACGCGAGATCCTGCTCCTCGCTCTTCGCTCGTCCTAGATCTGATCACCTTCATGTTCATGTTCATGAAGGAATCACGTCGCTCGCTCGCGACTGTAACTGTATTCTGAACTTTCTGTACTGCAGCGCTCACGTAGCGCCAAGCACTTTCCGAACATTTTGTCCCGGCATTTCGAAACATACCGCGGCCGCCGTGTTGTTTTGCTGGGGGTCAAAACCCTCCATTGTCCCGTTCGTGTTCTCGGGCACCACGAAGAACATTTGCTCGGTCTCCCTCGATCTGCCTTCCTCGATCCCCCGTGTGCGACCATCCGAGCTCCCATGGGTCTGCTGCTGCTCCTCCTGCTCGGGCCTCAACCTGCTTCACCAACAACAACAACAACAACAACAGCACCATCATCATCATCATCACCATCATCACCCAATCTCTCTCTCTCTCTCTCTCTGTCGCCAACAACCAACCGATTTCCCACCCCAGGCCCAGGGACCCGGGGGCCGAAAACATCGTCGGTTGGATAAAACATGTGTCCTTTTGCAACCTGCTCCGAGTTCCATTCTCCGTCCGTTGGAGTTCTGTTGTTTGTTCGGAGTTTGTTTGTTCCTTGTGGGCAAAGAAAGGCCAAAGGCCGTCGTCTCCTCGCGCACTCCCCCAACTGTTGGTGTTCGTTCGCTGCTCGGATTCTCGAGGTCCCGGCCATCCATTCATTCATTCATTCATTCATTCATTCATTGTGTTCTGGGATTCCAGTTGAACACCAACCAAAACTCGCGCTCGCATAAACAATGTGAGCTCGCGCTCGAGGGAACCTCGGAGCTAACCCCTACAGCAGGTTACTGCATTAAAGAACGACCCACGGGAGTATCATTATCCCTCTACATACGGGCCCGGGGCGTACATTCATACGGATCCTCGGCTCTACGGCAAGGGAGGGCCTGCGTAGAGATCACATAGCTGATGTTTATTGACTCGCAATTCTTCTTCGCCCAAAGGGGCGGACGAACTCATTTTTGACTTATGGGTACACGTGGAGAGGGACACGTTTTACGACTAGCCACGTGTTCATGAGGTGTTTTCTCGTAGAGCTCTACTCTAGAACCGCGCTAGGCTACTCTACGCTTCACTTCGCTTCATGTGTGCAAGTCGTCTCCTTCGCAGTTTGACGATTCCGCTCGAGTTACCACGTACGTCACCCCGGCTACCGAGTCGTCGCACCACAGCACCTCGCCTCGCCTCACCGCAGAGCACCGGCTGACCGCTTGGCCTGCCGGTCATGTTCCCCGGCTCGGACTCCGTGTTGGACGTCGTGGCATCGTCGTCGCTGCGGCGAGAATCCCCCGAAGGATTGCCCGAGAGAGATTTGGACGTCCGCAGAATGCCATGCCTCTCGTATCGTGTCGAAAATCATCGCCAGTGGCTGAGAGAAGCAGAGAGAGGGCCTGGCGATGCGTGTTGATCCGAAAGTGCCCGCCCGCTGCTATTCAAGATACGTGTAAGTGGCAACCTGTGCATGAGCACCATATGTAAGTCATGAAACTTGAATGTTGGGAATCACACTGGCCAATGGACGCAACTGGACGTGTGGTGTTTTTTTTCGCACTCGCTCGCGGATTTGCCCGAGCTCATCCCGCTCTCCGAAGGCCCGAGGCCGCAACCGCAACCGCAACCGCAGAGCGCGGAATCTATCGGCGTTGCGCGCATCTTCCTTCCTTCCTTCGGTGAGGGAGAGGAGGTGGAGGTCGGTTCTTTTCGGCTGCCACTTTCCGGAAGGGGGGTCGGGGTCTGGATCGAATGGCGGTATGTACTTCCCAAGTGGCGGGCAAGTCCCATCATCATGAAATATCCGAGAGAATTACACACGTGAAAATCTGCGGTGTGTGAGAGCTGCTGCGGACTCGAGCTTGTCGTGGTCGTCGTCGTCGTCGTCACCGGCAGGAGAGGAGAAGCGTTCGCAGGCAGGCAGCAGGCAGGCGGATTAGGTTGCTCCACCTTCTTTGTTCACGCCTGGAGTGGGCGCTTGGAATGTACCTCGCGCTTTTGTCGGTAGCATCAGACGCATCGCCGAAAGGCAGCCCCGAGAGCTTGACATGTCAAAACTCGGGCTCGGGGCTGCGTCCGGGGCGTGGGAGGGATGTCGACGAGGATGGGCAGGGATGAGGAGGAGGACGACGACGACGATCAAACTGTTGAGGCCTGTATGTAACTCGTATACGCGTTCTTCCCAGCCTGTGGATTTCACCTGCCGAGCGGCAGGCAGGCAGTGCAGGGCAGGGCAGGGCAGGGCAGGAAGGGTGAAGAGTGCACTCCACGAACAGTTCACGAAGAGGAGAAGGTCGGAGGTATGATTCACATTCATCAGCAAAAGAGCCAACTTCTGTGTCTCCAGGTATACCAACCATGGTGGTACACTGCTACTGCGTTCGAGCTTTAAAGGTGTAGGTGGCGAGGGAGGTACTGTACATGGTGACAAGGGGGGCAGGGCCTTCTAGAAGATCGAAAAGGACCGCAAACCAATGAGTGGAATTGGATTTGGCGTGACTTCCGCTGTTGCTGGGGTTCAGTCAAACATTCTACCGTGTAAGCTGAAGGAACCCGGTGCTCGGAGTCAAGCAAAGCGAGAGCCGAGGTATTGATTCCCCGGGAGGTGCTCGCTGCTGCAGGAGCAGCTGCGGATGTCGTGGACCGGTTCCTCCACCTCGTTGCGAGCATGCGCTTCCATCTGTAAAGAGCCTTGACCCGGTTGCGATCGAACCCCGTAGCCCGATGCTCGGCTGTCGTGCTCGCCGGTCGCTGCTCATGCCCAACATTCCGCCCCGGCGCTATGCCGGCCTCGCTCGCTCGGTCGATATTTTGAGGCGGGCGAACCGTGTCCACTGCCTCTGCCTGCTTGCCTTGCGAGCTCGCGAGCCTCGAATTTGACCAGAGCGTACCGGACCGGACGAGATTCGATTCATCGAAGCGGGGGAGTCTACGAGAATCGGCCCCCGGCAGATGATGCTAAGCACCCCGAGAGTTGCGTAATCACCGACTCTGACTCGGAGTCTTGGAGAGACTGCAAAACGACGGCAAGTCAACTCTCGAGGGCATATCTGACAAATGGACGTTAACTTTGCGCGAACAAAATACAAGAGTCAAATTTGTTTCATTGCGAGTATGCCAAACGAGAACAGCAAAGAGGCGACCACTTTTATAGGTTTAGATCAGCCATCTATCTTTCTATCTTCAGATGAACTGGAAAAGCTCCTCCACCATGGCCCTCCCCTCCCCTTCCGGCCCTGGCCAGTAAATGGTAAGAAAACAATCCGGCCTCCCCGGACGACGCGCGCGGTTGGGCTCGGGCATGTACTCGAGCAGCGGGACCAATATCCCAGAATTTGACCACATGGACAACATTGATTCGGATGGTGGCCTGATCTAACCTCTCCCGTCCCGTGGAGGTGTGCTGACTGCTGCTGCTGCTGGCTACCGGCAAGTGCACTGGACATCACGGTTTGCTGTTGGCTATTGTTGTTTGTTTGTTGCGATGGGTGGTGTCACGGCACTGCCTTCGGGGCCTGGCCGCAAGATGGCGATGGCCGATGGGCAGGCCGGCGGATGAGCGGTGGCATCCGCGGGAACGATTGGGACGGAATGCAGGAGGAGGAAGGAACCGGGGAAGGAGGAGGGAGGGGAGGGGGGGCTGAGAATATTCTAGGTTATCGGCACTGCACTTCACTGCCCTGCCCTGCCGGCCGGAAGGGGGCGGGGCTGAGGAGGAGGAGAGGAATCGAATGTGAGAGGAAAGATGGTCGGTAAATTGGAACAACAGTAGATGACCTTCCTGCCGGCCCCGAGGGAGCGGATTGGAGAAAGAGAATAGTGTACTGCGAGAAAGGAACGAGGATGGATGCTTCGCCTTCTTTCAATGCGTCGTTCGCTTCGTTCTTCGCATGTGTTCGAATTTTGGTGCGCTCGTCCGTCCCTCCGTCGGCGCGACTATTGCGGCCCGCACGCACGCGCGCCTTCCTGCCTTCTTCTCGTTGTTTGTTGTACCGAGCTCCAGCTCGGGCCCAAGATGTCCCGCTCCTTTCCTCCCTTCCTCCCTTTCCCTCTGACCCAACCACCGAGGCAGGAGCGGCAGCAGCCGGCCAGGCCTCAGACCTCAGGGCCCATGCCTCCTCGACTGCTTCCTCGAGTTAGTTCGTCCCTTCATCCCTTCGCTCGCTCGCTTCTGCTATCTAGACTCGATTGTAGCCTGCCCTACAGAGCGAGCCATCCAGCCAGCGAAGCCAGCATAAAACAAACTACAGCGGCTGAGGTGATGCCATACCTGCTCTCGTGTGTGTGGGCGTAGTGTCTAGCAGCAGCAGGAGCAGCTGCTGCTGCTGCTGCTCTCATATCAGCTCAGGTAGGGGGGGGCTCCGACCAACAAACCCTCTTCCCTTTGGGGCGGAGTTCTATCCCTTCGACACCAGTCCACTGTTCGCCAGTCAGCTCGACCTCGACCCGGCCCAGCCCTGCCTCGCCTGGCCTGGCCTCGCTCGGGGCTGGCTATGGAGGCTCAGGAGTAAGGCTGAAGCTACTGTGGGAGAAATAGTAAGCCAGGAGACAATGACCTTTGCCACCCCGGCCCCCGGTCAGGACTACGGCACGGTCCCATTAAATTCTCAAAACGCCGGTATTCCGTAAGCATGGAAGCCGCCTCGAAAGTCCCATATTATAGTGGAAAAAGCGTACACTTAACTGATGCGAAGCGTGAGACCAGCTGCAGATGTGATGTACGATGCTGACCGCAGACTCTACCCCCAACTCCCCTCCCCTCCCTCCTCTACTCGCTCTTCCTCGGGACCTCGGGCCGGTCCTCTGAGCTCCAAACGCGAGTTAGAGAGAGAATTTGTGAGAGAGAGAGAGAGAGAGAGAGGAATCGGGACGGGATGATGGATCGGATGAGACTCTGGGGAGATTCCTCGTCTCTGGGGCTCGTGATTTTTTTCGCCCATGGCCTCGCGGTGTGCCTTTCTGCCTGCCTTCCTGCCGGCAAGGCGAGCGAGCGAAGGAAGGAAGGAAGGAAGGTGGCGGGCGGGAGAGTGGGAGCGAGCGACCCGGCCCGGCCCGGGCGGGCTGAGCCGGGTCGCGTCGGGCGGGCGGGCGGGCAGCTGTCCACACTGCACATATCGGCCTAGTAAAATACGGAATAATATAAATTACTGGATTTGGAATTACTTGGTCGGAAACCAACAGGACGTGTGCGTTTCACGAGCGATGGCGACCTGCGGAACCCGGTGTCGTGGACTCTCATTATATTAGGGTTGCTCGCTAAATTATAGGACGAGGCTCTTGACTTTTCGCCTCTCCTGTACTGGACGACTTCCCCGGCCTTCATCCCCAAGACAGAAACAGCGAGCGCAAGCGTCCGGAGAGAGAGAGATTTCTCCGAGCCCGCGGTTTGGTTGATTCGGCGAGATCGGGCGAGCCCACCCGCGGCACGGGTGGAGCAGGAACGGAGCAGGTCGCGTCCGGTCGTCGATTGCAGATCAGCCGGACAAGCGAGCCAAATTTGGGAGCATGCGAGCGACAGAGAGAGAGAGAGAGAGAGAGAGTGACGAGTCCCGTGTCGTCGTCCGGCCTCCTCTTCCTCCTCCTCCTCCTCCTCTTCTTCTTCGTCTGCTGCTGACTGACTGGCTGACTGGCTGACTGACTGACTGACTGGCTGACTGACTGGCTGACTTCTACCGCTAGTGGAGGAGGAGGCGCGAGAGGTAGCGGGAGGGGGAGGTTTTGGTCCATAACGGCCCCGCATGCGTGATCTTGATGCACTCAATATTCAGTCCCTTGTGCGCGTGTGCGCATGCGTGCGGGCGTCTCATCCATCCCGCCCCCCGTCCCGGGCCTCCGCCAGCCAGCCAGCCATCCAGCCATAGCTGCTGCTGCCGCTGCCGGTCGCTGGCGGTTTCGTTCAGAGAGAGAGAGATGATGAGCGAGGGGGTTGAGGAGTGAGTCAAAAGGGCTTCGGGGCGGAAGCTAGTGGAGGGGTGGGTGTCAGCAGTAGAGGAGCAGAGGGAGTAAAACCTGCGTGTGCTGCGCTGGGATTTCCCGGCCGGAGAGGGTACCCTGGGGGAGCTCGGGGTCGGGGCGGAGGTGGTGGTGGTGGCCAGAGAGTCCGTGCTGCTTCTCTCGCAGCGCAAAAGCGAGCAGTTGATTGCTGTAAGGAAAAAGGGTACAAAGGATGTGATAGAGGCCGATGAGTGTGAGAGCAGCGCCGAGGAAAACCCACAGCGGAGGACGACGAGTGGTGTCATAAAGCAAAGCTGAGCCGCGCGGGGCCGAGAGAGTAGTAGGGAGGCGGAGGGAGCAGCAGCAGCAGCAGCAGCGAGCCGACCCGAGCAGAGCCGAGAGAGAGGGGAGAGGAGAGGAGTGGAAGGAAGGAAGGAATGACGAGTGGGGACCTCAGAAGGCCTAATCAAACTCATCACACTCGAACAGCACTCTGTTCGACGTAATAGAGAGGGGGAACAGTACGCCACCTTTGATGCACACGTCATTCTGAGAGGTTTAGGGAAAGTGTTTTTTTCCCCCTTTGGCTACTCTTCTTTTTATCCCTTTCCTTTGAATGCCAACCTGCAATCACTGAGAGAATAAGAAGTGAGAGACGCAACAGCGGCAATAGTTGCTTACTCACCACTGCCATGGTCTCTGTAGGAGGAGAAAAGAGAAGCAGTGTGTGATACCTGACAACAGACTCCTTGCTTTTTGCACGAGAGAGAGACAGACACACAGAGACACACAGAGAGTGTGAGTGAGAGTGAGAGACAGAGTCAGAGAGACAGACGCGAGAACGAGAGCGAGAGCTACCAGTGCTCTCCCGGATCTTGCACTATCTCTGATTATGTCCAATGAAGCCTCGTACTTTCCAAACCTTTGGTGTGCCGAACGTTTTATTGTAATGCCTGCAGTTCCGGTGCTCATTCTCCTCACTGCCACCACTTGCTCATGAGGCACTTCATCTTTTGGATTCTGCAACTAAGAGACGAGGGCTCCGCAATTGTACACGAGGAGTAAAGACGTGAGGAGAAAATTTGGGTTCCTTGAGGCGGTCCGCTTCCCGCTTTCAGAGACATTCATTGTAATGCAAGCAGGCAAATACATCAGGTTAATTTCAGTAGCAGGGGCCGGCAGAACTTCACCAATCATGTGCCACCATAGCCCGTGCACCAACAGCTGCGGATCGGGTGCCATGGCAGTAGATCTTTCTCTGTGTTGTCCGCCTTCGTCGATTCCCATTGTGTTGCCGATTCACACAAATGGCATGATGACGAAAAGAAACGATACCGAATCAGGAGGCAAGTGTGAGTCCACAGATTCTGAAGATCTTCAACGGTGGCCAACTCCCGTCGAGGTAATCTTTCAACCGAGGACCTCAGCAATCTGTTCCACGAATTTGATCTTCCTGCGAGAAACCCTAGACGTTTATTATGCCTACAATCTCCCGGTCAATTCTTTTCGCCACCGCCTACCTCGCGGCTTTCTTAACGTGGATACGACTGGAATCCGCACCAATAGCTCAACTGCGGGTCATGGATACGTATGCTCTGCTTGTTTTGCCCAACATTTGGGAGCGTCACGCTCCGAGCTTTTCAGGGTAATTGCGACTCGCTGAATTCACCCGAACCACCACCCGAGGTTGGAGCTCAAGAGCCCAGTCTCCAACCACCACTCGTCTGCTAAATATTATCGTTGACTGTTCAATAGTCTGCCGGAGCCTTCGTCACTAGACGACTCTCTCTGTCAAGTATCGAGACAGAGGCACCATTTCAATTTTGAAAGCAAGAAGCTATGGAAACAGGTCGTTTCGCTGTTCTGGGTTTAGAGCACCCGGAAGAGTATCCGTCGTCGTCGGTTTCTCTTCGGCGTCACATCTTGTACCTGCATTAGGTGTATGTGTCTGCACTGTCGTTCGACCGTGCTTGTGAATCGGTAGTGGTGAGAGGACACCTCGCCACGGCAATCACAAATCACTTGCGGTAACGGTGGAAGCACTGTTTGCAATTCACGTGCCGGCCTCTCTGCACCCGCGAGCCTCAGAATTCCAAGCAGGCATCTACGCGCGCGTAGTCTCCAGTGTCGTGTTTCTTTTCTTTGACAAGATTCGGGAATGTCGAGTATCTGAGCCTTTGACTATTGTTATTGCAGATAGTGAAGGAGATGAAAGAATTGGGGAGCTTGGCCGGGCCCATCGCCGTGCTGGGAATACTGCTCTACCTGAAAGCGATGGTGTCAATGCTCTTCCTGGGGAAATTGGGCGACCTCGAGTTGGCGGGAGGTTCCTTGTCGATTGGTTTCGCCAACATCACAGGGTACTCGGTCTTGGCAGGTCTGGCCATGGGGATGGAGCCCATCTGTGGACAAGCATTTGGAGCTAAACGGTGGAAGCTCATGGGGCTGACTCTGCAACGCACGATACTGGTGTTATTCTGCGCATGCCTGCCTATTTCGATCTTGTGGCTGAACATGAGGAAAATCCTCATGCTCTGCGGCCAGAATGGGGACATTCTTTCCGTTGCGCACACGTTCCTGGTGTACTCGTTACCCGACCTAATAGCGCAGGCCATCCTGAATCCCATGCGAATCTACTTGCGCTCGCAGCAGATCACCACGCCCCTGACGTACTGTGCGGCGCTTGCGCTAGCGCTTCACGTGCCCATCAACCTGCTACTGGTTGATTGCCTCGGCTTGCATGTGCGCGGAGTGGCGCTGTCGACGGCCTGGACCGACTTCAACGTGGTTCTTTTTCTGTTGGCCTACCTATGGTACTCAGGGCGCTACAAGAAAACTTGGGAAGGATGGTCCTTAGACTCTTTTCGAGAGTGGCGTCCACTTCTCCAACTGGCAATTCCGAGCTGCGTGTCAGTGTGCCTTGAGTGGTGGTGGTACGAGTTCATGATCATTTTATCAGGTTTGCTCGTGGATGCCCAGGCCACCGTGGCCAGCATGGGAATTCTCATTCAAACCACCGCTCTGGTTTACATTTTCCCGTCGTCCCTGAGCCTGGCGGTGTCTACGAGGGTTGGAAACGAGCTCGGAGCGAATCGACCTGCCAAAGCTCGCACTGCCATGCTAGTAGCTCTAGCCTGTGCCGGGGTAGTTGCAATTATGGCCTGCACCTTTACCACTTCGATGCGGCATATTTGGGGCTCCATGTTTACGAAAGACGCCAAAATACTGTCTCTTGTTGCCATGGTGCTGCCTATTGTAGGATTGTGTGAGTTAGGCAACTGCCCACAGACCACTGGATGCGGGGTGCTGAGGGGAAGCGCGAGGCCAACGAGCGCGGCCAACATCAATCTCGGATCGTTCTACTTGGTTGGGATGCCGGTCGCCATCGCCCTAGGGTTCTGGCTGGATTTCGGTTTTGTCGGGCTTTGGTTTGGGTTACTTGCTGCCCAAGTGACGTGTGTTACGTTAATGCTGAGTGTGCTCTTCAACACGGACTGGAACAAACAAGCGCAGCGGGCCAAAGATTTGACTGCGCCACACTCGGACGCCAAAGTGGTGCCCTCGCTCGACGAAAGTGATGCCGAAGAGAATGCCACCGAGAGTTTTGTCATAAGATCAACCGAGGAAGCTGAGGCCGAGAAAGATGAAGATGAGGAAAGGGAAGCTTTGATTTCTGTCAAAGTGGTCCAGCCACACACTGCGGACGACACTTGAAGATGAGCGCTGGAAATTGTGAAATATTCAGTGAATTTTGTCAAGTTCACTGATTGTACAGAGCGAGCACGGCAGCAATAGCAGTTATTTTCCTTACAAAGACCCCTTTATCGACGGGTCCATGCTATCGCCATCAGATTCTTGATCGGCAAGCGGCTTACACACATAGTATTGGCGACAAGTAACAACTCTGAGGTCTACAGATTGAACAATGAAGAAGCGAGTGTCACTCTACAGCATATCTGCCCTGACAATGGGCACGCATGCAGCCGAAAGACCATGATTTTTTGTCGAGGCGTTTAGAGGAGAGAGCCAATCAGCAGCAGATCTTAGGTTCAAATGATTCTTTGAGAAGTCGCAATCCAGCGTCGTCGTCGTCGTCGACGTACTTGGCCAAGGTTCACTAGTTAGACGCACGCATAACCACGGCCGATTTTGCCAAACATCCAGATGCCGCCACTTCTCCTCCAGTTTTGGCCGGGCTCGTCTTGCAGTCTACACCTACTGTTCTGCACGCGTTCTGTCCAAGCCTGGAACATGTGAAACAAATTGATAAAACATTTTGTGAATTATCTGTACAATGATGCTGCTCTCTCTCTCTCTTTCTCTGATTCCTTTTCTCTTTTCCTCTTTACGTCTTTCATCCTCCCTCTCTCTCTGTTTCGTTACTCTTCTCTCTTTCTCTCACTCTCTCTCCCTCCCTCTCTCTCTGAACATCAACACCGTGTCGAGTTGGCACACACTGCAGCACCTGTGAAACCTTTTCCCAAGGAGATAGCGCTAAGCTTGGTCACATCGTCACACTCCTGCCCATGGTGACAATAGTCTGTCGACAACCTTAGCAACGGAGTTGCAATTTTTGGTAGATGAGTAGCAACATCAATTTCCTCCACACCCCCACCATGTTCCGCTGACGGTGCTCCGTACAGCGGTCCTGTTCTCGACAATCGCCAAGGATCTATAGATACAGTATTTCTCCAGTTGAGCAACTGGGGAATCCGGTATTAGTTAGGTACAATGTTCCGAGAGGTCTGATGCTCTTGTACATTTCAATTGAAATCTGCTTCTCTGAAATAAAACTGTGTACATGAACGAGGTTTCGTTGACGGGCTTAAGACGTGGATGATGAAGCAAGCTTGTAGGCCAGAATCTGGAATGTTTTGGCTGTGGATGAGGGGGGTCATCCAGACTTAAATGCGTAAACTTGAGCCCCGGTGGGGTTTTTCGTCCGATCGACATCTACAGTATATATCGGGCTGGCAGCAGGCAAGTGCAGCAGCAGCAGCAGTAGCAGCAGGTCCTATTCTTTCTTGTTAGAACTTTTGCATCCGGGAAGCAAGCTGGCCTGGCCTAAAGTTTGGGTCTGCAACTTCTGCCTGGCCGGCCCCCTTGTGGGACAGAGTGAAGCCTGTAGCGAGCGAATGATGTTCTTTACCGCAAGCTTCGTAGAGCTGCGTAGCTCATTATGATGGATGGGCAGAGGGCTAGGCAGTAGATGAGTTCCAATTGTAAATTGGTGATCACAGAATATCGGGAATTCATGATTGTCATTGATATGGTCCCGTGTACAGTGAGTCGTTATTGTAGGCTCATGGTTGGATGGACGCCTTCCGCTCTGCCCTGCTCTGCTGGTGTCTTCTGTCGCATAGCGTAGTCCTTTGCAGAATGTCGAATCAAATCACTCCATAATCGTAACTGCAAGGGCGCGTACTCACACACAACATTCAATCTGTTGCTTCTTTAGAAATCAGCAAAGCATGGTGGCATGGCATGCGCAGAGTCTATCTAAGCTCGCTCTCTGTCGTCTCCTGAAAGCCTATTTATTCAATGTTGACAAGTGGCCGAGCCGTTTGCCTTTTCTCATGATGGATCATGGCCAGGCCTCAGCAGTTCGTTCGTTCGGTTCTGCGATTGCCAAAATCAGGCCAAACAAAATCGAAGACGAAACTTTGGACAAAAACCCCCCGGGCCCCCAGAACAGGTTTAGACAAAACACCGTCCTGTGCCACTGCCACTGCTCCTGCGCCTGCGCCTGCCACTGCTACTGCTACTGGTCGTGTATCGGGAACTGGCCTCTAGCCGGTGATGTTCTTATAATAATGACTGCCCGGGCCAGCACCAGATTTGCCGCTGCCGGGACCCTCCCATCCGTTAAGGGTCGTCCCCCATCCCACACCAAGAACCTTCGCCTGCGACCCTGGAACCGACCGGGCCCCCGGTGGCGATCGCGGGCGCGGGGCCCGGGGGCCGCCCTCGGGATGGATATCGGATGGCTCATCGGGGTCCGCAGGCCGCCTCGTCGGCTCTCTCCTCCTCCTCCTCCTCGCGACGTCCGTCCCTCCGTCCGTCCGGCTGATCCTCCCCTCCGCCCCTTCGGCCCCTTCGGCCCTGCAGGCGCAGGTTGGTTGGTTGTTGGTTCTTTTGTTTGTTACAGTGTCTCTCCCCTCACCTTCTTCTGCGCAGAGCTACTGGAACGCCTTGCGCAATCATGTACCAATTGCCCCCCCCCCCCCCCCCCCCCCCCCGCGAGAGTTATGATATTCTGTGCCGTATAATTTGCGAAAAGGAAGATCTCAACAACAAACTGCTAATGTCAGGTAAATAGTTTATCATTCACTGTGCATACCCATACCTCTCCTCTCTCTCTCTCTCTCTATCTCTCTTTACTTCAATTACTTTTTTGTTTATTCCTTCAATTGTGATTTGGTTGTGAGGGGATTTGGGCAAGTTTCGAACCCGCAAGGGAAATCTGACTTACGAGAGAGCAAACGAGGCCGAGCATCCATTTCACTCTCTCGTGTCTCTCTCTCTTCGCACGGCAAAAGGGTTTTCTCGCATCGCATGCAGCGAAGCGATGCGATGAGCTTGCCGTTGTGGACCCGGATCTACCCCGGCTCCATTTGTTTTCATTATCTTTGGGAGGTTAGATTCTCTATAACTACACCGGTACTCAAATAACACCATGCGGGAAGACGAGGGGTTGGGGCATCCCCTCCCTGCCTGCTGCCTGCCTGCTGCCTGCCTGCCTCCTCCGCCCCCTCCTCCTCCTCACCCCCCTGCTGTGCGCAATAAGAAGGTGGATATCATGTCGATTTGTTTCTTCTATCCATGTTTTGAATGTCAACTTGTACCTTTCGACCCTCATGGCTTCTTGTGAAATCTGTTGGCATGGATTTGATGCGCAACTTAGGCTCGGGCTCGGCTCATCTCATCTCATCGGCCCGGTCAATGGTACGTAGTCGAGACCTCCATGGTTAGCAACCTGCCATGAAATGAAGTTAAGTGCAGATGATGTACGTTTCGACCACCCCCTAAAAGGCGGTGGAATGCAAACCAACAAAGGGAAGGGACAAGAAGGAAAGTAAGAAAAGAAAGAAAGAACGAGAGCACGCGCTCTCTCGCCCAAAGTCCACGGAGGAGAAATTAAACTCGGCGGACGGACGAGCGAGGAAATTCCGAAGGAGAGGAGGAGTGGCAGAAGACGACGATGGGCGAGACGGATTCGTGCTGCGCTCTAGAGAACAGTAGTTCGCCAACGGAAAGCCTACGTAAAGGGGGCGTAGGAAATCAAGGAGGAGAAAAGGCGACTCGACGAGCGCGATGAAAAGAACGACGGCCAAACCATCCAAAAGAATGAGATTGAATAATGCGAAAAAACCCGCCTGCTGAAAGTCAAGTCTACAACAACAACAGAAAAGCGACATCCAACTGGGAGGAAGAATGCGCGGGCGCATTTTCACGCACCCGCCTGCTTTTCTTTTCTCTGTTGGTTTCGGATCTTTCGGGTGCACTTTCTGGGAACCGCGCAGAGGAGGTGCGGGAATTGAATGAAGTGTGAGCAAGCATGCCATGCAAGTAAAAACAAAGGCTTGCTTGCTGGGATCGTCAGGCCCGGCCGGAGATCATTCATTTAAAGCGTGCGAACGAAGCGGCACCGAGTAAGGTGGCCACGGGGTGGGCTGACTGAGCGCGGCCCTGAGGCTCTCTCTGCGGCTCTCTGAGGCTCTGAGGCGTAGGGTGGCGTGGGGAGCACCGAGTGGAGTGCCGACCAGCACGGTAAAGAATGACTTCCCCATGTCGATTCATGTCAGATAAAGACTACGACCGGCCTCCCATATCCAACTTCGCGATTCCAAATCACCTGGCCGCAACCCCGCCATCGCCCCCAGCCGGTCGACGCATTCGGGTGGCGTGTGCGCGGGCGGGGGCTTTATTTATTGCCCCTCGGCCAGTGAGGCGCGGGGGCCGGCAGGCAGGCAGGCAGGCAGGCAGGCGGAGGTACGACGACATACGAGCTCGGGTATGAAGCGCGGTATGTTCGACACGGCCAATTGCAGGGACTGCGGATTATTCCATGCGTCTCCTTTTTCGCAAGGCTGGCTGGCTGGCTGGCTGGTCGAGGAATTTAATTCCTGGCGCCAGGAGTGCGGAGGGATGGAAAACCTCTCCCTCCCTCTCTGGGGATATCGTAGCTTGTACCTGCGCTTTTCGTCGAGCATTTCGTCCAGAGAATTTGGCAGAAGACCGTCCAGCGCTGAATAAGGTTAGCGCCAACACCGGCCGCGTCACTGCGATGGTTCACCCGGCTCGAGAGATCAAGACTCGCACTGTACGACCAAAAAGGTGATTGCCACAGTGAGATCACTCTATCGCCCCCTACGTAATGGCCAAATGTTTCGATAGCGCTGCCAAGTAGCTTGCATCCCCTCAGTCTTCTCGTATCCGAACTCGCCTCATCAATACCGGACGTTAATGAGATTCCTAACCCGCATTATAAAGCCTACTAATCTAATAATCTAATAATAATATTTATTACCTTCTGAGCCGACGTTGAAGTCGACTCGTGCGTTGAATGGCAACTTTTTTTAAAGTAACACTTGTTATTCTCGATTCTTTCCTCAGAGTTTGACCCAACGGTATGGGCAAGACAGTCGTCTTCATCAGGCTCGGTCTGACATACTGTTCTTCAGTCTTCTTTTCCGAGACTGAATATCGTTTTTCTTCTCATCTGGAGTAAGATTCGACATGTCTTTTGAATTTTTGCATTCAATGCTTCAGATCTGCCAGAGGTTGACCTCGCCAATAAACGTAGTGGATTACAGAACAAAATTGGTGAGTCTGGTGAGCCAGATTCGTGGCGTAGTACTTACTGCTTCTCACCGCCTTCACAGAGAACATCCGAGAGCGCTGCAGCATCGGCATTGGTTTGATTGACGTTTTAGATCAATTCCTTCAAAACTTGGTCCTAGTGACCCTCCCCTTCACCGATTTCTCAAGATATTTGTTGGCAGGCTGGTTGCTTGTTGTTGACCATGTATATTGCGTGTTAATATATGGCTTGCTTATATATATATTACTCGATTACACCTCCGGATAACCTAGGTTAATTTCTTCTTTCCGATAAAAGTGCGAAACTTATATCTTTTATATGCACCTTCATGTGAAACGCTAGTTGTAATGATTGATCTGCCTCAAAACAGTAATATTCTCATGCTTTTACTGTGTAATCTTACCTAGTGGATTGATAATGCAAGGCTATTAGTCGTGGGTTCTGCCGCCTTGACTGCTTCTGGACCTTTATATCTCCTGCACCCCTTCAAATGTATATTGGTTGTCAGTGTAAAATGACAACAAGGTCGTGGCTCCCGAGTTGCAGTTCATCTCTCTTTAATAATTGTTTCCCGCTGGGCTCTCTCTCTCTTGTCAAAGAAGAAATTGAGGAACATTAACGTTGACTCCAAAGTTCCGGTTATACTTCTTGAGGGTCTACATTGTGGAAAAAATGTTGTTTATGCTTGCCGCGAATTGTCTTTGCAGGATTCGATACGATCGATATACACATACATATATATATAAGAATGAAATGTAACTTATTAAGGGAGCCCTTTTTTGGAAATATCATATCTATATTTCAACTTCCCTAATTGCACATCACCACGAGCTCCATCCTTCACATACTACTACTCACCCTTCGAGCATGGCGTAAATCGAATGCTGTCCCAGGGAATTGGTAAGCCTATTTTGGTACCGGAATCTTGAGAATGCGGACTTCATGATGTCTCTCGTGGATTATTTTTTTAAGTAGTATAGTTTTTAACCACTTTAATGTTAGTTATTCCATTCATCTCACTTCTAATGTTTCAGTTTTATTAACTGTAAAAATCATAATTTATCTTGGATCAGAGCATAAGTTTTGTGCCCCATTTTTTAGCTTTTGAAACTTAAGAATTTTTATTCTTCAAATAAATATATTTCACTTTTTAATTTAATAGAATTTTATTTTTAGAATCACTGGACATATATGGAATAAGATAACAAAAATTCTTTTAGGATCCGGTCAAAAATAGATTTATTTTACATTCATAAATTAAAATAAACATAAGAAAAATATGTAAAAAATAATGAGGTGAGAAGGAATTTATTAAATCAAAAAAATTTATTCAAAAATATCAAAGTTTGCAAAATGAAATTACGTTGATTATCACAATTCAAAAGAGATATTTACTTGATGGTTCTCATTGGAATCTAAATTGCTTACTAGATACTTTAAGTTTTGTTTTATCCAATGAGATCTCACTGAGAGTACACAGTCAGGCATGTTCTAGTATCAAGTGAGAGTATTTCAATGATTTTTAATTTAGACTATAAAATAGTGTTATTTTGCTTTAATTATTATTATTTATTTTTAAATAAAATAATTAATAATATACCATTTTTTATTTATAGATATTTGAAATGAAAAATATTTCCAATAAAATTCACACATTAAATACTATATTTTCTCTCTTTGATGCTACACAATGCATAACTAATATTTTATTCAAATACCAATATATGTAATCATAATCTATTGTTAAAATTTTTTTATAGATCAATTAGACGAGTTAAATAGTCTACTCATAGAAGTTTAACTAAGTAGATGAGATAACGTAATTTGATACAATATAGCACATAGATATTTTTAAATGATACTTTTATGAAAATTTCATAATTTCAATATCAAATATTAATAAATTTTCTTTAAAATAATTTTTTTTAATCAAATTAGAAATTCATGATCATTATTTTCTCACTAAAATTTAGTATCTTTAATATATTTTTAATTTTAATTGATCCTGATTTTTTTTATGAAATAATTACTAATATACTAATTATTTATATATATTTCAAATATAATTTTAAAAAATAGAAAAAATGAATATGAGATTTCTGATCCAAAAATCTTATATTAAGATTTTTCTTATTTCATTGAAAGCAAAATTCTTTGATTTAGAATTTTTTATCCATGAATTTTTTGACTCTTTTTTGGTATTGAATGTTTTATTTTAAAAGATCTTATGCCAATGTAAGATCATATACACAACAATACAGTCATTCATTCGGCAAACAAATAGCTAATATTGATAAATAAACAATTGATTATTACAATTTACGTCTACGAAGACAATTGAAGTTTTACTCATCAAAATTATTAATTGTGTAGCTGAAAGCTTTGGTGAGCTTGTTTGTATATTCATATATCAACTATTTCAATGAAAAAAAGTTAAATTGCTCAAAATTGAATCAAAAAATGAGTAAAATTTAAACTATCTACTCCTTAGTTCATGTTTTGAGATCGTAAACTTCATATCACATATAACTACTTTATAGAAATTTCAAGAATAAAATCCAATAATATTTTTTTCTACACTAGAGCTTAACCAATTTTTTTGTGGTCTTGAGTAAACAAATACATGAAAATAACAAAATTGTTTATTAGTATATTTATGCTCCTAATGTAAAATCTACAAAGTAGCACAATGTCTTTTAAAATTTGCTAGAGGAATAATTATGATCAATGTATGAACAGACTAAGTTTGATATCAATTTTAACTAGTTCAAGTTTTTTCTTAAAAAAATTACATCTCTGATAAGCTGGTATCTTATGTTGTGTTTTGTTTTGCTAATCATCATTTGATTTGTTTCAAAATGTAATTCACTCTCATTATCACAATGAAGATTAATATCATGTTGTTTCAATATCATTTGAGTGATAAATCTATTCAACTAAATAGAAGTTTGTGATGCTTATGCTTTTGTTATGTATTGAGTTTTTTTTTTAATCAACCTATGCAATCTTGTAAAATTGATTTTCAACTAATGCATATATTGTCCAGATCCTATCCATAGTCACAAGCCTAACAAGCATTTGACATTGTTTTGCATGACTTGATGGCTAGATGCAAGGAAGCATTTTTTAGCATGCTTAGACTCTTACCTCATGCGCTTGATTGGAATTAACATAATTTTGATATCTTTCAAATTGTTTGATTCTAATTTTTTCAAATTTATTTTCAAATTTTATTTTGCAGACTTGAAAACTAAATTTTAGCACAAATAGCTATAAATTTTAGCTTCATAGTTTGAACTTTCTTTCGATGATTATTTGTCACACTAAAAAATTGATTTTTAATTTGAAAAGACTCAATATTCAAATTTTGAATTATTTTTTAAATATTTATTTATATTCACGTTGGATTCAATCCAAAACACTCCCATTCCCTACAATTATGAAGATTGTACATTATTTTATTCACCCAATTTTAATAAAACTTTTTACATTTTGAATTAATTGAACATTGTTTTTGTCCTCTCGTAACCAAAACTTTTAACTAATATTTTAGCTATATGTAATGAAAAATTTCATACAATTTTATGCATTGTGGTATGGCAGTAAAATCATTGAAAATCAAATATTCATATCAAATAGAATTCTAATCATAATTTCATACATGTTCTAAATTTGCATGATCACCAAATCCATTGTTTGTATGACACATTGTCTCACAATTTCTATCTAGTTGTGCACATGTTTTAAATATTTGTTGTACAATTAAGTTCAAGAGAGTTGAAAAGAAAATATCAAGATCTTACTTAAAGTCTATTGGTAATTATTTGTCATAATAAAACATCAAAAAATGTCAAAAGTTTAACATCAAATTGTTTTTCTTAATTTTTTTGCAAAACCTTGAACCATGATAAAAATAACTGATATCAATCCTAGCGTAACAACTCACAAATCACATTTCTTGATTGAAAATTTTGCATTTTATTTTGCATTATTCTAACATTCATTCACGCATCACTTGATAGTCACATATCTTATGAAGCTTCAAACTGTCACATTAGTTATTTGCTTGTGGCTACAATAAAAATTGTGAAACACTTGCTGGCAGTTATTATAAATCATTGTTAAACATATACACTGGCGTTTGCGCTCACAATGCATCACTCTAATATCAATTTTTAGCACATATACACAAGCAAACATGCATTCATTCTGAGTTGAAACATAAGCAAAAAATCAATAGTAAGAAATCTTTGGTTCATCATTGCAAATTACTATTAAAAAAACACAAAATTTTCCCATACAAATTTTTTTATCATGACATTAAAAACTTTTGTGAACTTTTTTATATAATGGTAAAATAATTTTCTTAACTGATCATTATTAAGCTAATTAAATAAACCAAAATTTGATGTAAATCTTAAGTATCAATTTTTATTAATCAATAAGTAACAGTATTGAATGGTAATTCAAACATGAGCTTTTCTGTGTTTAATATACTTATATTTAGATACTAACTAAATATATATTATTTAAACATAATATCACAAATATATATCAAACTCATAATCACTATGAAATAAATGATAATAAAACACATGAAATCAATGTTTGTTTTGAAAATTTTCAAATATATGTATATATATATGATATCAAAATTTGAAATTTGAATATGAAAAAATCATGATTTAATAAAAATAAATCTAAATTTAACATAATCTTATATTTTATATAATAAAATTAATTAATGTATATACATATTTTTAATAATATTTTAAAAACATGTAATTAATTTTTTGTAACAATGTAAAAAAATCATGAATTTTCATTTTTAGAATATTTTGGTGTAAATTGAAAAATTAGTACATTTATAAGTTCTTATTTTTAACATATTAGTAAAATTTTTTAATAATAAAAATTCTAGGTAAATATTATAAGATTAACGTATATATATATGATCATTTTTCAATAATATACTAACATTTTTTATGTTATAATTTTTAAAAAATAATTTTGATAATCAACTCTTCATGCATTATTAATCTACAAATGTTTAGTGTTACTTAACATACAAATCACATTGATTTTTATGAATGTTTTATTTTTGATTGCAATCTGATGAAATGTATTTTTTTTTATCATTTTGAAATTTTTTTCTATGATCAATCAGAGATTATTTTGTATATATCTTCTCATCTAAAGTTAACTATCTATGCATAGACATCTAAAATTTTAAAACGCATGACATTGTTGAACACAACTTACATGTGTTTGATATCTAACATTGCATCATTACATGTGTGCCATGCAAAGATGAAACCTAAAACAAAAAAGCAATTCATGAATGGACAGTTAACATCTGACGAAAAACCTATGAAACATGTACCCCAAAAAATATAGCTTGATCTGGTATTTATCTCCATCAACATCGAACTCCTTACGTTCATTTCAATGCGACTAGTCGAGATGTTCCATGTTCAATGGAACTCCATGAAAGGCAAATCACGAAGCTTGCACGATATACTTTGAGATGTCCATCCGGAACTATATTGCATCATCAAATGCTGACCTCTTGACCATGACGTTGGGTTTCTCCGCGGTGATAAATCTAAACATTGTTTACAGTTTTTTTTCTCCTCTGTACGGCAGCGAGTACAAATTATGATGATCAGGTACAGTTTGTACATGTAAGTCCACGCAGAAGGGACGATGAATGGGTAATAGAGCTTTTGGGTACTATTGTGCTTTCGTGTTGTCGCTCGCGTGGTCATGACATTTTTTAATTAAACTCGATAAACCCCAGCACGCTATTAAGACTCATGCAATGAGAACGATTTACTTGCCGGGCCGCAACACGTCGCGTAGCGCGAGCGGGAGTATTATATAGCCGACGGACGTAGCGGGGAGCAAACGCAAAGCGGCGAGTCCGGCAATGCACAACAGATACTTTCAGGGGCCGGAGCGAATCACAAATGGCGAAGAAGGCGAAGGCGGGATTGGCAGCAGAGTTCGCGATGTGCGAGCGAGTCTGCTGAATGTCCGTCCGTCCGTCCCGCCCTCCCTCGGTAACAGAAACGATGACTGGCGGGGGGTCACCGCCTGGAGCAGTGCCACTGGTGGCCCGGTACTGTGTGTCCATGTGATGCGACACACAGGGCCATGGAAATGACGTGCTGATGACAGGCACGATGCCATGCTGGGTCGATGACCAGCAGCACAGTACCGTCCTGGCCTGTACCCGGCGGACTAATGAGAGTCGAGACGCAGCGCTGGGACTACGAGCTCGGCAGAGCGGACGTTTCAGAACCCGGCGAGCGGAGACGCCAGGCCGACGGATGGCCCGCGGCCAGAGGGCGGCCGGGCGGCCGGGCGGACGGACGGACGGACGGGCCGGATGGCGCGGATGCTGGACGGGCGGGCGGGCGGCCGAGTAACGCACAGCACCGGGCCGGTCCGGTGCGTTCCGGTCCGCGAGGCAGGCCTAGGATCGTACCGAAACCCGCGGCTCGCCGGATGTTCCTTCGAAAAGGCGCGCGCGGAAAAGGCCCCGCCCGTTGAACGACCTCCTCTTTGGCGCCGTGGCGCTCAGCCTTAGATTTCTGGGGCGGGGCTAAATTTGGCAACAAAAGATTGGTCGCGTCAGGCGCCGCCGCACCGTCCGATGCGATCCTGCTATCCCGAGCTCTGGACGAATCCGATCCAATCACCCTCCGCTCGTTTTCTGCGCCAAGTCAAGTCAAGCCATCCGCCAAAATATTTCCCAACGTAATATCCTTCGCCGCGATAATGCGCATTTGTGTTAGCCACTCCGCTTCTGGCAGTCCGGGAAGGATAATTGATAATCTATTTGCGCCAAGTCAAGCCATTGGCCAAAATATTTCCGATCGTAATATCATTCGCATTTGCCTTAGACCGGGAAGGAATTTGCGCGCTCCGGATAATTGATTATCTGTTTGCGCCAAGTCAAGCCATCCGCCAAAATATATCCCATCGTAATATCCTTCGCATTTGCGTTAGTCCGGGACGGAATTTAAGTGCTCCGGGTAATTGATAATCTATTCGTGCACTCGCCGCGATAGTAATGCGCATTTGCGTTGGCCGCTCCGCGTCTCGCAGTCGGGAAAGGAATTTGCGTGCTCCGGATAATTGAAAATCTATTCGTGCACGCCATCGCCGCGCTGGGGGGCGCGGGGCGGTACAGCGGGCACCCGTTGGGAGAATTCGAAACAGGAGGCGCTTGTCGAGCGGGGCGGGGGAGGACCGAGTCGTGGGGAGCGGAGGGCTCGAGGGGACGACATCGGAGGATTAGGATCTGATTCGTCGACAGGCGCAGGCGCAGGGCCATGGGCTGCAGGCGATGCGGGGAGGGCGAAATCTTGCGGGGCCATCATATCGCCAAGCATTGTACGAGGCGGGGCAGCGATCGGCAGGCGGGGAGGGCAGGCGTTCAACGCACATGACATGCCACATGCTGCTGCCTAGAGTGATCAGATTCGCGGATCATATCCAGAGATGTAACACGAAATCCGACCTCGCGCTGTTTCTCCTGTTCACGAGTGTCAGATTTGTGGATTCAGATGATGACACTCTGAAATTCTCGCTCTCGTACGGAGCGGCCAACGCGTCGTGAGGTGGACGACATCCGCATTCTTGTCACCGCTCGCTCGCTCGCTCGGCCGCTCTAAATCCTCATGGGTCAGAACAGTCCGGTCCGGTCGTAGGAAGTTGCATTTCGGATACTCTTCTCTACACGTGCGCTGGCCCGCTGGCTCGCTGGCTCGCAAGCAAGCAAGCTCCGCAACGCAGCTCGCACAATGTCGAGAACACACTCCGGAACGCAATCGGGCGTTCGGAGTGGGCAGGGATTTCGATGCTGTCGGTTAGAGCATGACACTCCAAATGGTCACGACATTCTCTCCCGGAGAGCAAGTCTGCAAACATCTGATGATGTAGTCACCCAATCCAACCCAACCCACGCGAAATATGCGGATTTTTCGATAAAGTACCGAGCAAGTTGACACAGGTATCCCGGAAATGTTCAAAAATCTATTGACGCAGCCCGCCTGCGATACGACCCATAACTCAACTGGCTGGCTGGCTGGCTGGCTGGCGTGCGTGCTGTGCGAGTACCACCATCCGGTCTCCCGTCGTTCAGTTGCAACCGACTTGTAAGCTTTTCGAGGATTCCTTTCCGTGTGCGCAGCTCGATTGTGGGAGTAAATGCTCGCAAACATCTTCCGTCGCGGATAAAGCCCAACCTTTTCAACCGGTAGCGAGTGTCTACGATCGAATGCGTCATGCGTATTCTGGATTTGAATATTGGAGGCACGCGATCTCGGCAGGTCAAACTACCCTGACTCTGTTGTCTAGAGGAAACGTCCATTTGCACGTATGAGATAAACGTGCGTCGAGTCTCCGCCTGAGCTCATTCATGTCCATTCTCTGCTGGCGAACCCAGGAAACCAACATTGCGTGAGGTACATTCTAGAGAGTCGGTGCCCTCCCCATGAACGTGTCGTTCCATCATATGATTTGGTCCAGGTCCAGGTTTGACTGCCACGAGCCTCCGCCAATGGTCAACTTTAGCCCCCCAGGTTGCCTTCCTTCTTCCGATGGTCTTCACTGCAAGATCCATCCAGTTGGGCATTCATCCGAACCCAACTTTTTACCCTCTTGTTCCTGCACCACCCGTTCTGATGGTGAGCGAGCGAGCGACCTGCGAGTAGATCTGGATTCTCGATCCAGAGGGAAGAGTCGTTGTTTTGGGTCAGATCTAATTTGGTACGGCAACACACGCAGACGGAGCGGTTGAGTCTGGATTCGAAGTCGAAGGTTTCTGAACCCTTGACTCATTCTTCCACTGCAGGCCCGTTTACTCTGATCTCACACTAGATCGGCATGTTCACTTACACAACGGAGGAATATACATTCATGCATTCTCGAGCTGATTATCCGACACGGCAACAACGCCTTGCTCTGCTCATGTGGCCAATGTAGTTCTTGGTTGAAGTCCCGTTCAGATTTTCGCAAGAATCAGGTGTATTTTAACTGAGGGCGGGAGGACGGTGACTTGGGAAGTTTCCTCATGGGAGAGGTTAGACTACCCCTCAAGCGATCGTATGGTACGGGAGGTGGAGAGACCTTGCCAGAGCAATAGCGTAAAAATGAGCTTCAACCCATGTGGGCTATAGGTAGAATCATAACTTGTATTGAGCTTGAAATCAATGTGATTTGACTTTGGGACATCACCAGGCAAAGCCTCAGTCAGATGAGATATATTGTTCAGTGTGATCTACTTTGACCTCGAGGTATTATCTTCTCTTAGGAGGACTCATATGACCAACCAGGTTGGCAGCTACTGAAAGCCCCATAATACTGACCAGGGTACCTGGACACACAATGCACCAACGAAACCGGTAACCAATGAGAAGGTGATCTGAACAAAGAACAGAAATCCTCGCAAATGGGATCAGAGTGGAAAAGAGCATTTGCTTAGTTTCCAATGTGAAGCTCACTGAGGATGAGAGGGAAAAAACCCTACCGAGGACGTCATGTGCTCCCTCCAGTCCAAGAATTGCTAGTCTTCTGTAATCCTTGGAGCTTCTATGAGCGGTCAAAGTCACCATCTGTTGAGAAGAACACACAGAGTTAGGACGTTCCGAGTGCCATCATCGGTCGAAAGAACGGATCGCAACTCAAATACTGCAGAATACGACTTGGATTTCCTTACCTTCTCGTAGAAATTTCCCGTTGTCAGAGGTACGAGGGCCATACCCACAGACAATGCCATCATGAGGATGTACACTTTCAGAAGTCTTGTTGCGCCCCGTTTAAGTCCTAAAATGACGGATACTTGTAAGAAACTTGGATGAGGATTCTTCTACAGAACCCAGCTAGCTCACCGCCAAAGCACCAAATGTTATCGAGCATGTCCTTCTTCGATCGTCCAATCAAAGACATGAAACCAAGCAACTCCTTGACTACTCGTGCATGCAACCAGTAAGGAAATGTACTCATTAGTCGGTCGCTGTCAACTCCTGAAGATCACAGAACCCTAATTTCGATTGTGTTCAATGCTCTTCTGTATTCTTCAGGCTATGACAGCGACTTGGCAGAGCGGTGCGAGTATGAAGAGATGGGTGTGAAGAATAAAAAAGGGTAGACGGTGAAGGACCGAAGACTCCTCAAAAGTGTTGAATAAGCTCTTTCTCTGATTGGAAGCCTTGTTCACAACTGAAATTAGTTCAAAGTGGCCAGGTTGTGACCAGAAGCTTTTACTAACTGACTAACTAACTCATCCAGGTCACGTCTACGACAGGGGCAGTACCGATTTGAGAGAAACAGTAAGAATACGGATAGGAAAGTAGAGAGGAAGGAGAACGATTTGAGTTACTTATAATTCGATCTACTAGGTAAAGGGACGGTTTGCAAAACTGAAGCACGGTTCGTAAAGACGACAGAGATACGTGAATCCACTTCTAGCTTAGCTTCTCATTGGTCATTGCGCAGCTGGTCAGGGTCTCTTCAAATTTTCTTATTGTTAGTTTCACAGCGTCCTCAAGATTTCTTCAAAACTGCAACAATGCATTATTTCCAGCACGAAGCTCTAATATCTCTCCAGTTGGCTTCAGCCTTCTACCCAACTAGGTTCAGATCCAAGCGTATGGCAGATGGCCTCATTGACAAGAGGATGGATAAGGACTCACCAAGAGTGCCGATCACTACTGCACTTACTCCGAAAAAGCAACCAGCGACCTGTAAGTTTTCCATCTGTCTTTCATCGCTCATAATTGTCAATATCAGTATCACCGCCTTCAGCAGCTGAAATACAGTCTGCAAAAACACAGACATTATACATAGTCCACATCAGAACGGGAACACAGGAAACTCAGTCGCCAACATGATCTTACGCCTTTTAGGCTTAAGCAATTGTAGTTCCTCATGTAGCTGTGATAACACCTGTTGAATTATGGCTAACAAGATCCCCAGAGACAATCTCCTCGGGAGGAGAATGTAGTTATAACTACAGTTGGCTTAAGATTGCGAACCCTAGAAGCAACGCTCCAGAGCCACATTGTAAAAGATCTCATCCAAAACAGATGAATACATAGCCATATAGAAATCAGGCTCGATAGGATAGATTAGGTGGAACTGGAAATCAATTCAAGCACACGATGATAGGAAATACAAAAACATGGGCTTTCGAGAGCGAAGGGTACTGTTCTCTCGATCTAAACCAGCCATCTTTTGCCCAAAAGGCAGACTAGAATTCTGAACACTCGATTCCTTTTTCTATATCTGTGGGTAAGCAAGACGAATGCAAACTTGAGAGCAGAAAGGGCTAGGACCTGCGCGGAAAGGTACTTTCGCAATAGAACTTTGCCTTGAGCTGCCTTTTTGTACCCTGAACATTCCAAATGACATTTCTGAAGGCCCCATTAAAAATTCCCGAAGTTTGCTGAAGTCTAGAGCATCAGGGGCTTACCTTGCAGTAAATACAATGACTAATACTTTGACCTCTATGCGCAATGCATTGTAGGACTGATGGAAAATGATGGACTGATTTCAGGAAAATGAACGGAGATTCAGTCACCAAACAGCGTAAATTCAAATAAAAAAAATGAGCGAGGAGCTGGAGCTGTCAAGGCACTCGATCCCAACGCTGCAATATTGCAGACGCAATGAAACCCAAGTTGCAATGAGATTTGCAAACGGGAAATTCAACCTAATCGATACTCGAGCGGATGCAGCGACTCTTTCGAGAAGAAACTTACGGTCATCCACAGTCTGGCGATAACTGAAGTCTGATCCATCGGATCCTTCTGGACGGGGTCCTCCTCCTGCCCTTCTCATCCTCGTATGACTTGCACCTTGGGTTTTCAAATGCCGTCACCCAAAAAATTCCAATTCAGAGAGAAAATTCTGACTGCTCAAAATCACACCGACGGTTTTCCTCACTTAGACAAAAGCAGATTCATTGCGTCTATCTTCGATACATCAGGAACATGTACAAACCGAGCAAGAGCTAAATGAATGATCAGACCGATTTAGAGTTTCATTCTTGTAGGCGATGAAGGCTTCGGGATTCCACATACTCACATACCTTCTGGATACCAAGTGTTCGGCAAGTCGATGTCTTGGCTTTGAAACTCAGCTTCAGCTTCTGACTCCAGAGAAATGCAATCAAACTGATGACGAATTTGAAGTTCCTGATCTCTGATTCAGGGAAAAAGATACATTAGCAACAAAGAAACATCCACAAATTGCTGAATGACGAACGTGCACACGTCCACTGTCAGAAACTTGTTCACATTGTAGGAGAACAAAGTGCAAATAATTGTGAGTAAACCACAAAATACGAAGTAGAATTTGTCCAAAAGAGCCTTCTTCATCACGAAGTCCCTTTGTCATAATCGTCCCACGGCAATTCACAAACTTACGGTTTCAGTCACGCCAACTATGTCGAGAGATTTAGGAAGACTGCATCAGGTCTCCAAATTGACAAGTTCTCTGCATTGCACTGGCAGAATACTCGAATGTACACACTCATGGTTTTTATTCCGATGTATTTTGGTCCCTTTTGTCGATAAGATTCACTCTGGGTATTCATTTCTCTGTGTCTTTTAAGTACCCTCCAGATTTTGAATTTCCGTGTCATATATCATGATATGTCTATGTTCAGTAATTTTATGGCTAATTTCATTTGATTGCTTTGATGGGTAACATCAAGTCTGAGTGTAATACAACCATCCAACTAAAATGCTATTGAACTTCTTGAAGATCAAATTTGTGTTTCATAATCCTTCTCAAGTCTATAGTTTTTCCCTAGTTATAGTACTTTAAAGTTATTCTTTAAGTAAAAAATAAAATTGAATGGTTAATGCTATTTATACAGATTAGCGAACCAGATATTTGAAAGTAAATTTAATCTCAATGACTGATGTAAGAACTTTTGGTATTATTTTACTTTTGATTAAGTTTTCCCTAGAATTAATTTCAAATCTTATTATTTGTAAGACTTTGTGATTATTCAATTTTTATTAGTAGCTTATTTTCTTTCTTTTTTCATAAAATTTCAGAAAATCATCAAAATACGGTGAAATAAATATTAGCTTACAGGCATTTTCTGAAAATGATGTTATGATCGATCGATAATCAACAACAAGAACTTGAAATGTGTTGAAAAGCTCAATACATGTAAAAGTTGTTCACTTACTTTCACTAGCTAGAAGATAGGATCAATAGGACTTTATGAACAAAAGTTCATTGATGATTTATATGATCAAATGCAACAGTAATGCAATATTTATTAGATTTATGACCATCTTATTATATATATGATAAGAGATTCAAGCCTTCAACTAATAAACATTAAACATCCTAGCGCCTCATGCTTTAACAAGTTGCTCAAGATATGAGTCATGTTGCTAAAACTTGACAGAATTGTCTATCACCTGAACTTATATATTCTAGTCAGAATTTAGAGCATTTGGATGAAAATATCTATGTCCAAGTCTGAGAGAGATGATTTTAAAATGAAAATAAGACACTAAAGTAAACTTGTGAATTGTAATTTGAGATTGAGTCATCGTTGGTTGGATCAAAAACAAAATATTGGATATATAAGAAATTGAAAGTTTGAGTTCAATATATTTGTGATTTCTTCTTGATCTCTTATTCTTCAATAAACAGTATTGGCAAATTTTATATATCAAATCATAAGTCTTGACAATTTTCACAACACTAGAACAAAATACTAAAGTGATCACCCTATCTAAGATTCAGAACCCTGTTTGAAGTTTTTTGTTTACGTTCGGAGTATCTTGGTGTTTGAAGAAAGGATTCATAGTATTTGACTTTAATATAGCTTCTATGCCACAACGACTTCTCTCATGTTTAAATATATGACCATATATTTCTATATGATAAATCCATAGAATTACATTTGAAGTTGAGTTATTTCAGTAGAAGCTTTGTTTGGAGTAATATTAAACATAGTGTTATGTAGAGAAATCTTTGTATTAATTTATATCTCTTCATCATTATATCTCTTCTAGTCTTTGAAGCTCCTTTGGCAGAACTTTATGATTTTCGCATACAGGAAGATATATTGAAAAGCTCCGCTCACATATATCGAAGAGTATACAATCACTTGACGTTCAAGAGTATATTGTTACATAATTCAATACTAGTCATCTCCTTTTTTGTCCAACTTTCATCATCTACTCGCACACTCTACTTCTAATGCCAGATCATATGAATATATATTATCATAAGTGTGGTGTTTATGAATCAAACGTAAGACATATTGTCCACTATGGAAAGAGACAAAGGTTAAATGAATTCCATACATATCTGTATTCCAAATTGAATATAAACACCATTAGTTTCATAAGTATTATGGCAATGGCTATATTATAAAATTTCTAGTCTTGTATGTCTTAAAATCTGCTTGAATTTGTAAAATTTTTCATGAAAACTAGTATATTTTTATGTGCTATACTTGTGACAATAAATTGGAGTAAATTTATCCACACTAATGTATTGAGATTGGGATAGAGTGTCAACAAAAAAGCACTGAAAAAGTTGGGTTTAGAGAGAGATTATATTTAAAGTATATATAGTTTAGGGAGTATATAGAGTTATAGGGTTCTTAGAGTTATATAGAGTAATGAAAATTTTGTGAGAATGTCAGTCTCTGTACTCACTAGTTGCATTAGTTAAGTGGTAAGTAAATCTATATATATATATATATATATATTCATTTATTCAAATTGAAGTGATTCATAGAAGAATGATCATGTAAATTTGACCAGTTGTTGTGGATCATATAAATTTGTAAAATATTTAACCTATAAGATCATTTCTATACTCTAGATCCACAAATACATAATTAACAATGATTTCAATAGAGCTAGCCTCATCTCATGCATGTACTTGATGAGATCTTTACTTCTTTTGTTATCTAGTTACTTTGTTTTGATTTGTAATTTCTGGTGTGTTTTTTTAGAACATATTATTTACACATTTTCATTTTCCAGAGTGATATCATTGATTAAGAGTAAGTTTTCACATTATGAAGTTTTTGAATCAGAGCTTAAATGAAATGTAACGGTTGAAATTGAATGCACAAGGCAATTGATTCACATCCTTCTGCGCATATCACTTAGTTCAACTTCATTTACGAATGACTTTTCCGACGAAGAAACAATATGATAACCTCCATCGTAATAATCAATGCAAGACAATAATACAATGTGTGTGTACAATGTTTGCCAGTCATATTGTGCAACATTTTTATATTACACATAAAGAAAACTCTTCTTTATGCTCAGTCACAACATAGGCACACATAGGTGCTGCCTATGCTGGGATTGCCCGGAGTGCCTAAGCCTATGCTAGATTTGCCACCGGTCCAGCCTATTCCTACAGTCATTCTCGATCTATCATATCAATCAATGCACTAATCAATTTTCTAATAAACACTTCAAAACCTTTACTTATATCTGATGGATAATATTTGACGTCCATTGAGACCCAAAAAATTCAACTGCTCTAAAAATAAGAAGCTCATGAAACACAATTCAAATCTGCCTTCGTTTTTGCTTGTCTTTTGCGATCATGTGTATACAATTTGAATTTAGAACAATGTCTGAATCATCGTCTCTGATCGTTGCGGGTGCCATGGCAGCTTCATCGTTTAGTGCTCCCCCGTGTCCTTAAGCACCGATGAACCCTACCAAGCGACCGCATTTCAACAGTGACAATCGTCAGCACTTGCTAAGCATCTGACGTTTCAAGCCTACTCCCAGGTTCAAATTTCCCATCACCAAAGACGGAAAGACAAATTGCGCTTGCCAATTCAAGTGGTTTAAGAAACATGAGTTTATCGAGTACTGAGAGAAGAAGACGCCTTGTTTTGCTTTAACTGTTGTATCATTGGGAAAAGTAATCCGTGGATCCATGGCGAAGGCAGTGAAGACAATGTTTGCGGCTGGAAGAACATTACTCAAAAGATTGACTGTCATGTAGTATCAGCCGCACACAAGGCATCAACGAGTGGTGCTGTTCATTTGCGCAAACAACAGATAAACCAGGCGAAGCCAATTGATGTGCACATCGCCGACATCAATGAGATCGAGAAAGGCAAGCTTGCGCAAGAGCAACTTCTCAACCGCGAGGGTTTGAAAATAATACTCTCTGTATTATTTTCAAACCAGGCTTCTTTCGAAGCTCTTTCATGAGGTAGTGTGTTTGATGTCTTCTATTTTGGAGATTGTTTATGTTTAATTTCCAAGTTTACTAAGTCGGATTGTGACAAGGAATGAAAACAAAGTTAATAAAGTGATACTTTTATCGCTTGTGGAAAGTGCAGAGAAAGAGAGCTGACGTTGGAGTTCTGATCCTTGACTCGTTCGCTCATTTCCCAATGTGTAGTGTGGATTTCATGACACCTTCAAGTCACAGTTCTTCTGGTGAGAATGCATCTCATCTGAATGGCTTGATTGAGTGTCATCATATATTCTTCATATGATCAACTTCAAAAGCAGATGTACATGGGCGAGTAAATATATCATTATAGATTGATTGTTATTCCAAATAGTTCATTTTTCATCTGTTTCAAATGCAAATATAAGGATTGACCAAATCAGAGGCTGCTATAAATCGATATTCCTGTCCTCTCAGCTTGAGAAAAGGCATAAGAATCAATAGGGTGTGTACTCGCGACATATTGAAACAAGAATTTTGTTCATTTCTCATGTTTCAGTGTTCAATTGGATTTATAGGGTTGTGGCAAGGTTTTTCCAAATGCGATCAGCCGTTTGTGCCTGACGTTTCAAACTTGATGGCTTGTGATCAAAGTCTACATACCAAAACATCTGATTTGATTCCAAATTTGATCTGCGCATTGCTTTTGCTTGCCAAGCTCTCTTCAAAGCTCGTACTCAAAGGAATATCATTGACAAGTCCGTCCAAAAAACCACCAACTGATATGGGAAGCAAGCCTTTCAAGTGTTCAAGTATGGTCTTGAATTGTGTTCAAGTACAGAAACTGTAAAACTATCAATTTCTATTTTAGTTTCAAACTATTTCAATTTCTTTTTGCTTGTTTCGATGAGTTTCAAAGTACTTCAGTTTCTTTTTAGTAGATTTGATGAAGTTCAAAATATCTCTAATTTTTCCTAAAAGATTCGATGATAAGGATTTATGTTGATGAATATGCTGATTATTATTATTTTTGTTTAGGAGATAGCTCATGCTAGTTTTTAGACATGGATATAACTCGACGTAGCTAGGAGCTGAAGGGAAGGAGAGATGTCTATCGTCAGAAGAGACAATTTCCTTAGCCACGTTTACCAAATCAGAATTAGGTCCTAGTTTTTTTCTCAAACAAAATAGGAACCATTGTGTCACAATGAACAGTAGAATTTTTGTTCAATCACCTCCTACAAGAACAATCCATGCACATGAGTTGCAATGGGCTTGAAAAATGCATCATTCTATTTTTGTGGAATTAGCTCGTATTCCTAGTGAAAGGGTAGATGATTTTGTGGATGGTGAAGTCAAAAGAAATATAGACTTTAAAACAAGCTTTTGGAAAAGACGAACCAATGACAAATTAA